ACCTCTCCTTTGACCACCGTCAACCCCTTCGCAGCTTTCGACACCAGCACCCCAACCCCGCCAGGAGACTACCTCCATCCTCCCGGCGCTGCGATCTTCGCACGTCGAACGTCCGTTTCTGCCGAGTCCATCGCCGTCGACAGCAGCACCGACGAGCCATTGCCGGTGTACCCGAAGACAGAGGATCAGGTACGCCGAATCAAGGCCGCGATTGGGAACCACTTTCTGTTCCGCGATCTCGACGAGGAACAAGAGACAGGCGTGCTCAATGCCATGCAGGAACGCAAGGTCGTCAAGAATGAAGTCGTCATCCGTCAAGGTGACGTAGGAGAGTATTTCTACGTCGTTGAGGCGGGTTTGTTGTATTGCTTCATCCGTCCCGAGCCTCTCCCACCCAACTGGCTCACATTGGGCAACATTGCTGCGAATATCGGCGCAGAAGACAAATTCGTTCTACCCAAGTATCACCCCGAACTCGGAAGGATGGTGCAGGAGTGCAAACCTGGGAGTTCATTTGGGGAATTAGCCTTGATGTATGGGCACCCTCGTGCCGCCTCCGTCCTAGCCACAGAACCGTCTACACTGTGGTCATTGGACCGTATCACCTTCCGTACGATCATTCTGAAAGCGGCCCATCGACGACGAACGATGTACGAGCAATTCCTATCGACTGTCACGCTCCTTTCCTCTCTGGACGCCCCGGAGAGAAGCAAAATCGCGGATGCCTTGGTCAGCAGCATTTATCTAGACGGAGAAGCGGTGGTTAGGCAAGGAGAGATGGGCGACACGTTCTTCTTCATCGAAGAGGGAGAGGCCGTCGTGACCAAGACGCAGCAGACGGACAGCGGCGAGGTTCGTGAGGTAGAAGTTGGGCACCTCCGAAAGGGCGATTACTTCGGAGGTATGTGCTTTCTGGAACTGTTCACATATCAATGGTTCTGATGTTCCAACGCAGAGCTTTCCCTGCTTACACTGGCGCCTCGAGCTGCCACCGTCAGTGCGATTTATCGTGGAGACCCATCAGCACCGAAGCTAAAGGTTGCTGCCCTGGATGAGGCCGCCTTTACTAGGTTGTTGGGGCCTCTTAGGGAAATCATGGAGCGCAAAGCGGGCGAGAGATACGGAAACATCCCGAGACCATTCCGCTGATCTGTAGTAGGTGCTGCCATGGCTGTATTTTGTTGTACTGCGCTATAAAATATACACATAGTGTACTGTAGTGTACCCGCCTTATGAGCATTTGAAACGCTTTCTTGACTTCTGAGTCCAGACATAGACATCTTCTAAAGCTCGAGTCGCGTCTCATGTGCTTGGCCGATGACGCGTGCGCTGATCACCATGATCGGGAGTAGTTTGGGAGCTTTTGCACTATGTAGGGTTGACCATATGGCTCCTGTCCAGCCTGTTACCAGCTTCCCGACTTTAACACGACTGTGCACAATTTCTCATTGATTAATCCTGGCTTTTTCAAGGTGGACCAAAGAGCTGTCGATGCAACGTCATGAACGAACAATGGTTCGGAGTGGAGCGCCTCCGCAATGAGTCCGCCTGACCGGGATGGAGTCGCATTATTCGGGTTCCAATAACGGTAGGTATGCCAACCCTCAAGGCCTCATGCACATGTTTGATGCCGTGGCCCGTAGAAGCTGCACTAGGCTCAAGATATCCTCGTGGAGCGTGGCAGTCCACAGCATTTCTTCTTCTTTATCCCCCACATCCCCGACGCTTGAATCCTCGTCTCCCTCCCCCACATCTCTCTGTTTTGTACCCCTCACGCTCATTTTCAGTCCCGTGCGGCCTTGATGGACCCGCGAGTCGCTCATATGCTTCAAGAGAGGCAAGTCCTCGGTGGGTTTTTTTAATCACTGTTGAGTCTGTTATCGACTGATCTGTTCACCTGCGTCCAGGTATAACTCTCCTGTGAGTAGCTATCCCATCTTCCCGTGGACTAGTCTAAACCGACTTGCAGACCGATTCCATCACCGAGGTTACCCACCGCGACTTCTTCGGCATCCTCGACCTCCAGCGCGTATGGATTTGTTTTTTCATGGTTGCACGTCCATAACATCCGTTTAATAGGTCCTCCTCGGTTTCAACTTCAGCCTCAGTCTCGTCGACGACGTCAATGTACGTTGCCTCGTTGCTACCTGTGGTGCAGGACATTCATGTTACTTTTGCGCCACATAAAGAGCATCATCTGCGAGTGCTAGCTCCTCTTCCTCCGAGTCCACCTCTGAGACCTCGGCCTCTTCTTCGTCCTCGATAACACCCCCACCTACCTCGGAGACCTCCCAACTCGGCGCGACGACCCACACCGTGACAGCCTTTGCATCAGACACCTCCGCATCCGCCGCTCCCAGCGAAGTTGCCACCCCGCAACGTTCTTCTTTCCTGCAGAACAAGGCCGCGTCCGGCGTCGTGTTTGGTATCGTCGGTCTCATTGGTCTTATCCTCATCGTCTTCCTTGCTACTTTCGCCCTTAGAAGGCGGCGCAATAAGAAGCTTCTCGAAGATGCGGTTTCTTTCGACCCCTCAAAGGTAGGAACCGTGTACCAGGATATGGAAGCAGGTCCTGGGGGAGAAAAGGCCAGCATGAGCACGGCACATGGAAGCACGGGCCAGGAAGTGAGGCAGGCGCCAGCCTTTGCTGACTACGGTCCTCCTCGGCCCTACATGCCCCCTCCGTCGAACATGTCCCCATATGCGAGTCCCGTTGTCGGACAGCACCCTCCTGCACCTTGGGGCACGTCCCCATATCAGAATCCTCAACAATATCCGGCGTATCCCACTCAAAGCCAGAATTTCGACCAACGGTCTAGGAGATCCCGTTCATCGTCAGCGGAAATCAAATTCGCTCCAGGCCAAGCTCATCCTACTCCGAGCCTTGGACGTTATGATGCTCCGTCGTCAGGACCTCTCCAGGTAAGTTCTTCTGATATCCCTATCTATCCAGTCCTGACAAGCGAAGCCCCGAGCAGGTTCGCAATGAGTGATGCTCCATGATATACCCAGCGCAACCAACATACCCGCCTCCTTTGAGGCCATTCGTTCTTTAAGTAAAAAACGCTGGCATTTGAATCCTTATTGATTATTTACTTTTGGTCGGCGTTAAAACTTTCCGGCTCCAGGAGAGCCCTGAACACTGCTCGTGTCAATGTAGTACACCATAATTCTTCTTGGACTTTCGCCTTCCCGCATGCTGAATCGTTTGTTCTATTCGTATATACTTCGTACCTATACTAATTGTTCAAATTCAAAACACACAAAGTCGAGCATTCTGATTCTGTAGTATGTATCTCAGTGTTTGTGACATTTATCTCGCCTCTAAGTGGTCTTTCGGCCGAGCTTCCCCAGAGTCTTCCTTCTCCCTCGAAGTGCGGGTGAGTTCCTGGTCGCCCGTGCTTTCTGGTGAATCAACTCGTTCCGTGCACGATCCACGACGAAGCCTCCATTCTCGGCGTTCGAGGTAATAGACTGCCCACGTTATGGCCAGTGTCGCTATACATGCACAAATCATCGCAATCATTCCGTTACGGAAACGTGGTGTATCTGTGGCTGGGTAGAAGATAATGGACCACCAGGCGTTCACGACGTTATTCCACATGCTGGAGAAAGAAGGTAGGTCCTCCATCAGCTATTTCTAGAACAATGTTAGGAGGAAACAGAGGCACTTCATTGAGGCCAACACAACGGCGCGTTCTTGATCATCATCAGCACAGATTTGGTTTGCCCACCTGCTCATTGCGAAGTTCAGAAAGGTGTCAAAGTTATGGGAGACCACTGAACAGAGGAGTTGGACACGCACGCAAATGTTGTTGCCTGTCCAGCAAATGAGGCACCGGCCAGGTCTGCAATGGGAATAAAGGTTTCCGATGGCCGATCACGATGTGGTGCACAACACTCACAATATGCAAAGAATTTTAGACCTGTTGGGCTGCTCCAGACAAGAATGCATATGGATGAAATAAGGCATGCAATGGACATATAGACTAAAACGGGCCACCGCACGCGAGTATGATCGGTCCATGTGGCGCATACAAGGGTCGATGCAATAGCAAATGCAGTGGCGCCCGACGGATAATAGTCTGTGGTGGAAGGAAATGAGACAGGGGTATGGTGCCAAGCAATGTGGCGCACCGATCTGCTCAACGGAGTATCCCCCGATCGCCTTAAGCCATTGCCCCATGAGATTGTTCGACCCGAAACTCTCAGTTTCGCCAGAAATCGCAAACTATTCGGTATGCATGATGAATCAAATGCACTTTTTCCAATTGCAGGAGAAGAGTGTGGCGCATACCAGCAAGCTGCAGCCGTACCATCTCCACCGTCCAAGGATCCTCCGAAGAATACTAAGGGTTGCCCCTCATTCGTGTGTAGCCAATCACGAAGCGCCATTTCTCCCAGACACGAACTTTCGTGTCACCTTCTGTCACGTCTCTCCGCCAAAAAAGTGTTACCATCAGTGACCACGAATGAAGGGCGTCCCCGAATGAGGGGCAACCCTTAGTATTTCATGATAAAGGGCGCGACCTCGCCTGCTCGAGGCCGGTCCCGTCCCCGAGCCGTTTGCGTACCAAGCCCCGCTCCTACGAGAGGGAAATTGCCTGAAATTGCGTACATGGGCGGGGAGTGAGTCCAAACCCAAAATGGACCGCCGAGCCGATCATCGCTCAAAGAACGCACTCACCTCTTTGGATAGATAAAAAGCCTTCGTCGTACGAGGTAGGTCTGGAAAGACGAGAAACCCGTAGAACGCGATAGGTAGGGTGATAACCCCGTCGATGATGAATCTTCGTCGGATACCGTGCCTCAGGGATCAGATTTCGTTACTCACAACCATCTCCATCCACTCCTTCCGGCATGACCATTGAGATTCCTATTTTTGGTGCCGAGGAATGTCTGGTCAGTTCGACAGGTCTCTGGACTCATCAAAACTTACTTGTACACTGCTGCCTGCAAGAGCCCAGAAAACCTGAGGACAGGTCAAGATCGAGAGATAAAACTCGTAACGTAACGGTCTCCTCACAGCGTGCCGGCCAGCCCGGAGGTGGTGAAAATACCTGAACGTTTTCCTAGTTCTTCTGGCTTATACCACCTATAAAGGTTGTCAGATAGTTAATCCAGAATGGTCAATACGGCACCGACGAGCCAAGCACGTAGTGTGTTCCGACGAAGGTGGATGATTCAGCCATGCCTTGAAAAAACCGGATGACGTAAATCTGAAGGGGACGGCAGAGTGAGTCATGTCTTTCGCCTGAAATCCCCGAGGTGCATGTTCCACATTTTTAACTGCACTTGTACTATTGAGGATGTGAATGACGTTCTCGTAAGTCGCCGGATTTAAAATGAGAATCTCCACGAAACCTCACCAGAAAGTGAGGATGCCCCAAACAATTTGCATGCAGGGAAACCATATTCGAGGCGCGGCCACTTGGAGCATGAGATTATCTTGTAACCGATTGAATGCCGCACCCTGCCCGGAAGATAGGAATACGCAGCGTACTGGGTATCATCCCAACGATATAGCCACAGGTAAAGATCGTATTGAATTTCTGTGAAAAGAATCATTCGAACCACTGATTTTTAAGGTGATGGACTGAAATGAATCTGACGTTAAATTGTGTGCCGAACATATGCAGTTCTTCCCTCATGCCAGAAACATATGCATTGGATATGTTCGAACGATCCAGGTCTGCACAAGACTGAGGCTGTTGTACGACACGAGGTGGGGTGCAGGCGTACGATTCGAGAAATACTAAGGGTTCGAAGTTCAGACAGCTGACAACATGTCCAGGATCGTGACATCAATCAACCGAGGGACATACCATAAGGCAGCAGTAGGACAAGATGAACCAGTCGATCTTCACTAAGAGACCGCGTTCCTGTTGCGTTGGAGCATTCCCCAAGATTATAGTCAACCATTTTCTTCGGCCTGAACTAGAGGACATTCTGGGAGGAGAGCTATCAAGCCTATCTTGGGGAACCGCGGTGCGAGACGGGCGTTCATGCACATGACGTGAGAAATTAATGGCCCTGGATCAGTCCGTCATGCCGAAGAGTCTGCCCAGGATATAGACTGTTTTGAACGCTAGAAGGGAGGCAACCAGAAGGCATTCTTTGTCACTGCAGTTTATGGAAATCCTAGGGCTTGAGTGCTCTCGGGTTCGACTTGAATTACAAGCCGTGGATATATGGTGGGATGCAAACTGATGCGATGATCAATTTGAAAGGCGCATGTTTGCTTTGGGGGTTGATGTGGGTGTGAACCCAATGACCCACATCAATGCGCCGCAGTTGCCAGACCTTCACCACCCACCATCCACCTAGCAGGGATGGCTCTCTACAGAAACTCTCAACTGTCAGTCTCGGCCGGATGATTATTGATATCCTCTGATGGAGGACGGTACACTGAACGATCGGAATCAGAGCTAAAGATGGTCTTACCAAGGATTTGTCATGGTCTGCCAGTCTGGTGTGCCCCCGTAATCTGAGGGCAATCCGGCAACCACGATGCTCAGACCACGCAATCCCCGAAACATTCCGAGCCCTAGGTAAGCCACGGCGACAACGCACTTCCCCCCCCCCCAGCTGAGACCTTGGATTATGGATGATCTGATTCTCATGCATTTCTCCAGAAATGGCGCTGTTTCAAAGAATCCTCCGGATCTGTTGGGGTGCAGCTTCGCTCCCTGGTATCTTTGTGTTATTCTGGACTGAACTGGATTTGATATGGGCGTCAACGCGTATTATCTCAGCATCCCTATTAAAGAAGGTGGACCGGAGGAGAGAACAGACGGATTTGCTTTGTCAGTCGGCCTGAGTCAAGCTGCATCCGTCTCTGTCTTGCCGAGATAATTCTTAAACCTTCTTTGTCCCCTCGCTCGCAGCCCACCTCCCACCTACGGCCCATCATGCGCCTCCGCCCGGTCACTGCCCCCCTGCTTCCCGTGCTTCTTTGCACAGTCCTCTCACATCTTCAGCCAGCCTGCGCCTCTGCCGTGGCCTTCTATGACCTCCCGGAACGACGCACTATTCTCGGGCCGGACAATGTCTTCGCGAAACGCGACAGCGACCACCACCACCACCATGGCACACCTTTACTAGTGCTGAACGAAACCGAAGTTACTATGTACCATGCATCTACGCCTCCATCCTATTACACAATCGATTGGGATGATCATGGTCATGAAGAACGTCATCCCGGTCTTATGATCGCACATGGCATTTTTATGTCGTTGGCTTTCTTCGTTTCGCTGCCGATGGGTATGTCCCGCTCATCTTATGCATGGCTAGCATCTCACCCATATCAAGGTATTGCCCTACGGAGTGTGAAACATGCTGCTCATGGGATTGTGACTTTGTCGTTCTACGGGTTTTGTGCCCTTGGCTGTGCTGCAAGTGGGCTGTATCGCAAGTTGACCCCAAATATGTACGCTCGTCCTCATTGTATGCTGTTATTCCTGTCACAATATCTGACAACCTCTATAGGTATGAAGGTTAGTAGCACGGAGGACGAATTGCCGTGCGGACGACCCATCTAAACCCCGCCTTTGTTTAGGTGCCGTCCACCGCACACAGGGTTACCTTGTCATACTGGTCGCCGTCTCTCTATCAACACTCGACATCATCGATGTCGTTCGTCGATTCGTCGTATTCATTCGAGGTTCTGACAGATCCTTCAAACTGTTCTGGAGGTCTGTCATCAAATGGGAGGATGCGCCAGCAACTGGGCCAGAGTATTCTGGGCTGATCGCAGATGAGCCTGAGGAGTTCGAGTCTGCAAAGATTACTCGGGATTCGCTCGAGCTCCAAGACGTTCATTTGCATGGCAATGATGGCGAAGAAAGTCGCACGCAACGTTGGGCAAACTCTGTACATCGCCATCAACGTCATTATTCGCTCACATCGGAACACACCGTCTTCGATGCACATTCTCCTCATCAGTCGGACGACACCTTGCACGACGCCAAGGGTCGTCGCGGTCAACTAGTACCGAAGCGGCTTCTACGTCAAGTTGGTGGCATAGTGTTCGCTACTATCGAGCGCTCTCTGGTGGTGATGGGGCTCATTCAATTGCTCATTGGTGTCGTCACGTATACAGGTATGCCCTTCTGTGCTATGATTTACCTCGAACTCATTTGTCTTGTAGGAGGATGCAGGGAAAACTACCTCAATGGTTGTTTGGCGCATTTGATCAGTAGGTGACGTCCTTTGTCCTTTAAATGCCGGATACCTAACATCGCGATCGTCTGTCAATAGAAGGAGGCATATTTTGGTCCTACGGGCTGTTGACATTCGCTCGGTTCCTAGGATCCTACGCGGATCTCGGCTGGGCATGGAACAGATCACCATCGGGCAGTAAATACACGGCTGAATTTGTTGAATCCTTCGTCATTTTCCTTTATGGAGCGACGAACACGTGGATGGAAAGGTTCGGAGCGAAAGCGGGCGATCCGTTCACGACAAAGCAGATTCAACATATTGGAATTGCTGTAAGAGTTGTCTTTTCAAGGGTTTATGCGCGTATAAGTAATATTATCGTGCAGGTCATGTTCTGCTTCGCTGGACTCGTCGGCATGGGTATTGAATCTAAGAGAATCCGCAACTGGCTCGTATCTTCGACTTTTGCATCCATTTCTCATCCTTCGGAGCTCCCTCGTGAGGCTGTCGAGGAACCGCCCAGCTATGCTGCCAGTTTCAACCCCTTCCCAGCCCTCGTGATCGGAGTGACAGGTGCGGCGATGGCTGCACATGCGCAGACATATCTGTTCCAAGTGGGTAGTTTGACACATAGCCGGATTACGAAAGGTCAAAACCAATGATTCTCTTCTGACAGGTCCAAATCCACTCCTTGTGGGGGAATCTGCTCGTCGCCTTCTCTGTCTTACGCTGCTTCACATATTTCTTCCTTTGGCTCGGTCCACCAAAGTCGATTCTCCCTTCACGACCTCCAACAGAAGCCCTCGGCAGCTTCTTCCTTGCCTGCGGAGGCTTGGTATTTATGTTGTCGACAGAAGAAGTGACGATTGCTGCAATGAGACGAGGGCGAGATGGTGCGATAAAAAAAATTAGTAGTAAATTCGAGAAGCTGACACGTAATTTGTAGATGTCATGATGTTCCTCAATGTCGCTGTTGCCTTGACCTGTTGTGCCTTCTGCTGGACACTAGCGGTTGTCGGATTCAAGGGATGGCTGAAATCAAGATCGCAGCCCCCCGTCACCTATCGGAACGCTGCATGATTTTACGATCTTATTTTTTTTCAGTCACGCTTCCGTTATGTGCGCATCTTAATAGTACCAGACTTACGAATTAGTTCTGTATTTTTCCCTCATCATTGTTGTTATTTTAGTTGTTATCGCCTTCCCGCTGTTCTACGCTTTCACTGCCAGATTCCAATACATTTCTCATTGATTAGATGGGTGCTGCCTTGGTCTCTTAAGATGTGGATAAGAGAAGAGCGTAATCTCCGAGAGTTCCCATCCAGATCCAAAAGCCCGCCCATCCACAACCAACGAATCCATTCCAGCAGCTCGTGCGGTCATCAAATCTTGTTCTATGGAGGACACGCCCCAGCTGGATGGCTGCAAGGCCTACTCCGATATAGAAAGGCTCTCCTTGGGAATTAAGGTATCCCGCATAAGAAATCAGCGACAGCGACCAGGCAGATAGGCCAGTAAGGATAGGCCGTGTCTTTTCTCCGAACAGCAGGGCAGTTGACCGGATGCCGACCTGTACGTCGTCCACCTTGTCCTGAGGGGTAGAAAGCTTGAACTCAAATTCATTCTCAATCACAATTTCACCGACCTGATGTGCGTACACGCTGTCGTATACAAGAGTCCAGCAAACGCCCCCTGCGTACAACGGAAGGCACACAGACCAATCCACAGCTCCGCCTACTGCTGACCAGCCAAGGAGAGCGCCCCAATTAAACGTGAGCCCTGATCAAAGGTATTAACTTCCGTTGTGCGAGAGAAAGTAGGGGCACACACCAAGAACGGCTTGCGGCCAATGTGTCAAGCGCTTCATGAGGGGATATATCGTCACTACTGACAACGATGATGCTCCAAGAAGAATGCTGAAGGTGAGTAGGTGAGTAGGAAGGAAGGAAGGAAGGAAGGAAGGTAGGTACGTAATACAAAACGATTGTTGCGTACCTGTACCAGTTTAGTTGCAACAAAACACCGAGACCTGCAGTCAGTTGAGTGCCAAGAAATATAACGGCTTGTTTGTATGTTATGTCGCCTCTCGCCAAAGGCCTTTCTTTTGTTCGCGCTAGAGTTTTCACCAGTTCATCCAGGAGAAGAAGAAAAGAACTGGAAGGCCATACCGACGGCTTTGTCAAGGTTTTTGTCCCACATATCGTTGATTGTGCATCCTGCACCCCGCATTACCAAGGCACCGAGTCCGAAGAGGCTGAGATATGTCAGAGGAGTGGTAAATGGAAGTTCTAGGGCGTAAGACGCCATGGTTATTGACCAAGCTAAAGACACTGTCAAGGTTTGCAGCTTCAGTTATCCGAGAGCAAAAGAACTTACCACACGGATAGAACAGAAGGAGGGTACCAATGGGCTTATCGATACGCGTCAGGTATAGGTATGGACGCGCTTTCGGTGGGAGGTAGTCTATCCAGGTCCTGCGAGCAACCGTGGAGGGCCCAGCAGGGGCGGCGTTCCATCGCACGAGTCGTGGTGCTAGAACACCATTTCGAAAATGCCTTCTAGAAGCCCATGTACCAAGATACCTCGAGGACGGTAAGCAGATCGCGTAGGGAGTAGAGACAAGCCCCAGACGAGAACAGGTAAAGAGACAGACAGACATTTATGGTCGTGGCGGACCAGCGGTGCTCTCTAGGCCAATGATTGGCAAGTCAACTAGTCACCATATTACCATCCCACCAAGGTCAATCGTACCGACTTCACTGGTGACTGTAGTATGTACCAATAATGTAGTACTTCACCTGAAAGAAACTGAGGGTGGATAAAGCAACGACTACGTCGACGCAAACCTGCCATGCCACATTGAGTTCTATCTAAGTCATTGCAAGTACGACGGAAATCCTACGACTGAGGCACGACTTTCGAAACCAAAGTCTGACCTCCTCAACGACCGATGTAGGAGAAGAAAGTGGACGACTGAACCATTGCCCGTCAGCCCACAGGCGCTCAAACGCTAGCAATGATGCGCCACTCAGTTCAGTACCTCGGACACCATCCAGGAACCTCGACCAAACCATAGTCTACAAGCTTATGATTTTCGAGTTCGGGCCGCCAGCTTTTCGGGAGATGGCTTCTTTCTCGGATATCCAACGACGAGTAGTCCACACCGTCCGCCGCCCGGATACCCTGAAGTATGAAGTATTTCTGTCGTGACCTTCACTCGGTGTATTGACCGGCATAAGATTGTCAAATGTTCGAAGAGGGCGGACGTGTGGCACTGGAGCTCCATCTTCCTTGGTTGCGAGTTCAACTTTGTGGTGGTAGCGGTGAGTGAGCCACTCAGTTGTGACAGGAACGCCATCTACTTCTCTGCGATCACGTTGTGCAATATCTTGAGGACGGACGCCGATGAACGGTGCTACGGGTAGAAGCTCTTTGTCGGAGGTAGTTGATGACATGCTCGAGTGCGGAAGACTACGTGAGAGGGAGCCACGAGCTCCCTCTCTTTTCTATTTCTCATTTGTTTTTCATTCTTTTTACACCCAGTACAAAACCCTTCATCGTGCGATCAACCTGAGCCTTCGAATTCACCTGACCCCGAAGCTCGGGCTAACTCCCCACGGAATTTGGCTTTGAACTGATGCCGGATTTCCTACGCTAGAGCCCAACTATATGGCATAGATAAATGTTTTATGAAACTTGGTGGTTCAATGTCATCGAATTTTCTTTGCAGGCTCACTTCACTCTATAGATTGCCATCTCATGCGAAGCCAGCCTTGGTCGTAATTCTCAAAGTCCGCGCCTGGGACAAATCTGGGAGGACATGCAGGAAATGGAATACGGCGACCATGCCAGAAGTCTTGGAAGGATACTCTTCACTTCATATCAAATTAGGTCATATAGAAATATTTCCTCCGTAATCGAAAGCCTTGCAGAACGGTCGGGTGGAAGGCATAACACGATAAAAACTACTACCATTCCTTCGCAAGCTTGAAATGCCACTCCCAGTCTATCCCCATGCCAGTTAAATAGCAGTTGTTTCGTCGAGAATGGCCACTTACCTGCGTACACCTCTCCGTCGTCGTCGATCACACGGCTGCGAACATTGTAGGTTCCGGTGCGAGCGAGCATTCCGGATGGTGATTCCTCTGGGTCAAAGTTCTTCGCATAGGCTTCTCCAGTAGGCGAAGGGCCATAAGAGCCGAGCATTTGTTCCAATTTATCGACTAATAATAACAATCAATTAATCCGACGCTGAGGAGGTATTAGGAACCAGCCTTCTCACCTTTGATGCCGCTCCGTTTGACGACTTGAATGTACCGTACTCCCTGAGCATTGGACGATTGGGTGGTGAGCGACAAGATCAAAGCCAAAGGAGATGGCGGCGTACGGAGATGATCGAGTGGTTGACCTTGAAAGTAATTCGGACACTTGAAGGAAAACATGAGTCATGATATTCGAAGATGCTTTATAGGTGGGACAGTACTTGTATTCAACCCCCTCCTTGATCGAGATAGGGTTCTTCTTTGTGTCCGCGAGTTTGTTCAAATCCTTCAAATCGAAAATAATCTTCTTCCCTTGGGGCAAGGTCGGAGAATCCAACTCCAGCGTCAGAACAGATACCTATACGACAGTCAATAGATCGGGAGATACGACGCTCTGTGGCTTACTTTGGGGCCGCTACCCTCTACTGCAGCCCCTGGCACGATGCCAAGGGATGCTTTCCAGCGCGCCAAACTCTCGTCTTCCGCATCTAGTGTCGCATACTCTTGAGCTGTCTTTGCCGCTCCTGGTTTGTAGCCTTTGACAAAGGGTCAGATATGGGAGTGGTCGTGATGTTGGGGACGGGGATCACCTGGAGTGGAGGAAGGCTTGAGATCATCCTGGTCATCCTGCTGTAACGGGAGGAAGAATTTAGTCCGGTTCTTTGAATGGGTGCGAACGTTTCTCACTCACGGCGGACATGTTGGGTCGGGCTGGTTGTGAGTGTCGCAGGCGTGGAGTGTTATAAAGTGTTCTCCATCGCCAAGATCGATTTCGCACGACTGCTAATCGCCTTTTGCCGAGCGAGTTTGAACGGCGATAGGGGCTTTGTTTCCCTACCTTCCTTCCGCCGGTAGAGGTTACAAGTCAAATAACGGCGTACAAAGCGGCTGTGATTTATTTATATATCCTATACAACGTCGAATTAGCCTCTCCAGGATTAAAAAGTAATATCCGCAATCATTTCCATCCAACTCCCCTACTGTTGTAAATAGTACATGTTTAGAGCCGCAAGATCTTCATAATATTCGTATCACATATCCTGGCTGATTAATTAAGATGGAGGAGGTGTAGTATGTGGTTCCGGATGCATTGCTTCTGCGTCAGAAGGGTTCGTCGGAGAAGATCTTGAAGGAAAGCGAACCTACGCACCGCCTTTGAACCAACACTTTCCCTTGCTGAGATGGAAGCATTTGGGTCCGTTGGGGCATACATGACCCCAGCAACATTTATCACCATACGGACAATTTACTCCTGCTTGAACATGAGTGCCAGGGACAAGAAAAAAAAAAGCGCTGACGAGACGCACCGTTCTTCAGCCAGTTGCAGGGGGCCTTCTTCGCGTTATTTGCCAAAGAAACGAGTTGCTCGGGTGTTAGAATATAATCATGCGAGTACTTGCAAACACCAGCCTAATCGTAAGCGCTAGTGAGTTACCTATGTCAAGCTCAGACCAAAAACTCATACTCACTCCCTTTGAGCAGGACATCAAATAGTGTTCGTTGCAAGGAGGAGGATTCTCTGTTTCAGAAAGTCAAAGAGGGGTAGATTAGCGATGCAGGTGACTGACGTTTGTGGAGAGGCTATGCAAACGAGTCGAGTCATTAGCATAGCGCTCAAGAGAAGGGCAGAATCTGCTTACCAAAGAAGGGTCAATTGGACGACCAACGGAGCGAGCAGGAGATTGAGGGCTGATAAGACCGCCGTTCGAGCTGACTCCGTTGTAGGGACCAGTCGTCAAGGGCGTCAATTTCTTCGACGAACGTGGTAGCTTCTCCGTCAACCACAAACCCTCAATGGTGAGACGCGGCAACGAGAAGACGTTAGGTCGATCACCGTTTGCCTCCGGAGATTGAGAGGGATAGAGCAAGACGATCTTGCCCAGTATCTGGTCCTTCTCGAGGGCGCTAAATGTCGACATGTACGCCACCGAGTCAAACCCTAACGGTCAATGGATCAGGTCGTGGTAGAGAAGCGAAAAGGGACCAGCACCTCCAAAAAATACACGCAAGGTCTGAGGGAAGTAAGTGAATGTCTGTAAATATTCTACGCCGAAATGAGCGACATAGGTATTTGAGAATATTATTCTCACCTCTTATCTTGCCCTCGAGGGCTTCTTTGTTATGACCAGCATCTATGGTCGAGAACCTTGGAGAAGCTTGTGTGAAACCCTGAGGACGGGTTATCAGAAGGGGGTCAAAAAGGTAAACAACGGGGTGCTACTCACAGCTAAAAATGCCTGGAACTGATCGCGAGAACAGATGTTGCTGGCGATGAGATCCTCCACCAATGCCGTTTTATTGCAGTAAATGGTAATCCAAAATGAAAGTCGTCCATAGACATGAACCTCTTCGTTAGAGAGTTGCCCAGCAATCGCCTGCGTGAGTTCCTGGGCAGCAGCCCTACCTCCAGTGTAGCCTTGGGTGAGCAATTCGCGATTAAAAACTAGCTCGTCTCCATTGATAACACAAAGAATGAGAGCATTTTGATGCTGAACATCGATCAACACACTGCTGCGGAAAGGGTGTTCGGTCAGACGTACCGTTTTGAAGGTATCAAGGTTCGATATCTGCCTGTTAAGCGCGGCTATTTGCACATTATGTGCCTTGACCTCACGCTCTGAGGCCTCAAGCGCCACAGAGTGTGCTTGTTTCCAGACGAGCAGCTCAACCTCGAGTTCTGCTACACGATTTTCCAAATCCGTGTTACGCCTTACAGTAGCCGAAGAAAGAGCTGCCGGCGAGGAGGTATTAGCGGCCCAGTATTGCATGCCGAGGGAAAGACGCACCCAAAAGCCGGTTCAGAGTCTCGTCCCTGGGACGATGAATGACGCGTACGATGAACACACAAGAATTATTTATTGAGCAACTGGACTGACCAAAGTTGCTGGTTTGCCTCGCCCACAGGTTGGGTGGCCATGGTCGGCAAGGAGCTAGTGGAGATCGTCTTGCTGGTGTGATGGGCGGGAAGGAAACGTTACTGTAGAACAGGCGCCTTTAAACCATGTCTGGTCTCCCAAGCAAAATGAACACTCAAAAGGACTTCTCCGGGATCTTTTTCCAGAGGAGGAAGGAAGCGGTCGGAAATGGAAGTTGCAGGGTAATAGGAAGGCGATAAATTTATTATCCTGAGGGCTTCTCGCCAAACTCACACGAATTGAACCAGTAGAGTGACTAGACCCCATCTGACGGCATCGAGAATGTCAGAATGAAGTGTTGACAGTTCCGCCAACCTTCGGGCAGCCAGCCTAAAAGGAATGGCAGACGTAAGTGTAAAGGCCAGATAGCATGATTGGACTGCGCAAAGGGCTGCCCGTCGTCTCTTTCCAGCAGAGAACACCAGTGCATTGTGAAAGAACGCTGGACAAATCACCACACCCGCCGAATCGCCGCGGGCATATTACTACTCCGATCATCTTCGCTGGTCTCAAATAAATACTTACACCACCCATCAAAGCATATCAACCTCATTTACGCCATCCTGCCCTCAACATATTCTACGCCATGTCCGTGGGCTGTTCTTTGGGTTCTTTGTGCATACCAGCTGCCCCGTGATCCGTCCAGTCAGCGGTCGCAGAGACGGACTCGATGCACACTCACCTCCCACGAACTTGCAGCGGTTCTGCTTGAAGAAGTGGCATTTCGTGGTCAGAGGACAATGATGACCATAACAGCAATCATCTCCCCAAAGACATATTTCGCCTGTCACTGTCTTGAGCCATTTGAACGCAATTGAAGGTGGCGACGCTACCTTTATTTCGAGCTGGACAGGGTGACTTCCTGGCGTTGACGCGGATCTCGTTGAAGTGCGCAGGCTCAAGCTGATAGTCATGGGCATATTTACATTCGGCACCGTGCTTGCAATTCGATAGATAGTAAAGCGTGCATGGAGGCGGCTTGTCTGTACAAGATCGCTTTAGCTCGGGCTACTAATCTGTCAAAATTCAAAACATAATGCTTACGCTTCGAGAGAGGCTGGGAGAAGATGGGCATATTTTGGTGAGTGCCCTCCGAAGTAAAGAGACACTCACGATATTCGGGATTACTCTCCGAAGCTTGGTGCTTGTGACAGACGGACGTGGCACCAGCACACTCTCGTCACTGTCGTCGCTTGAAATAGTGCTACCACTGGAATCTAGTTCGGGAGTGTCGGGTCGTTTGGGCAGCCGCTGCACCGCCGATGAATAGCTCAACCGCAAAGGGTGCTCCTTCGGAGTAGGCATTTCAGGCGGTTCGACCGTTGCGAAGGGGAGGGCCTCAAAGGCTTGCTGAATAATAGACGGAGTAGGTTTAAACGTGTGGGCATCCGGAAGTATTTGGGGAGGTGACAATTGAGTAGCCGTTGGCAAGGGAAATGAATGAATAGGCTGCGTGGGAGAAGGATTTACTGCGAGTTTCTGTGGTATGAAGAGCTCGGGGACGCTGAAGGAAGGAAGGTCAAGCTCATTAATGCCCATGGCTATGTCCGAATATCCTGGCAGAAGAATTAATTTGTGCTTGAAACCGGCTGTTATCTGCGATCGCAAGGTCGTTGCGTAGCCATTATCATGACAACCTACTCTATGATTTAGAGGTGATTTCAACAAGAAAAGCGAGACTCACCTCCGAAAATTATCTTCTGGGTCTGGGGAAGTCTGATTTCTTCTTCCAGGAGCGCTAACGATGTCGATGGAAGTCAACAGTCTGTGCGTCCTTACGAAAAAAGATGTGACACTTGCCTTTGATTTTAGCATCGGCGGCTTCCTTCGCGCCTCCGACATCGACCATAATGAAGCGCTCCGCTGCTTGATTGAACCCCACGACAAATTCTTCGAATTTCGCCTTCGCCGATACGAGTCCGACGCGACCGAAGGTGTCTCCCAACCCACGCTTGTTCAAAAATACGTAAACCCAAAGCTGGTATTGGTTCGTCCCATGGCTGGCGACAAGGTATTGGATAATGGAATCAGAGAGCTTCTGCGCGGCAGCGTGGCCGCCCGCTTGCCCTTGGGAGATGAGCTGACTGTTGAAGATGGCACCGTCGCCATCCAGAAGCGCGACCACACGGTGTCCCTAGCACGTCGTCAAAAAAATATTTTTATGCTGCGGGAGACTCCCTCACCTTCAGCTGGTTTTCCAGGTCTTCCTTCTGCTTATCAGATTCTTGCTTTAGCTTTTCGAAGCGGTGGCGCTCAGCGTCGAGATCGGCGTAGGCGCGCTTATAAACACTCAGTTCGTTCTCGAGACGACGAATAGTTTCTTGTGAGTTGTTATCATTGTGGAGAATCGTGATTATTTCCCCTGCGGCAGAAAATGAGGAAGAGGTAAATCGAAAGCAGAGGCACAGGTACCGCGCAGTTGTTCAAAATATATCCCCCTACGACAAAAAAATTAGATCCATTTATCGCCCTAAGCTTTCGACCTGGGGCTTACACACGGCCCTGCGACGTCAAAGATGGGTCACACAAAGGCTGATGATTGTCGACGGTTTCGTAGCTCATGGTAGACGGTAGTTGGCAGTGAGGTCTCAACAGTGCAGTAGGTAGGCGATTGAGGACCACATTTTTGATTTGCGGTTCCCTTTTATGTCCAGAATACCGGGGATGGAGTGAGGCACACCGCAGCGGCGTGGTGGCTGCCTTCGGAAACATGCAAAGCATACCTAGGGGTGCACATGCTTCCAGCACATGTACATGTCACCTAAATTGCCGCAGAGCGATCATCCTGAAAGGTGCTCCTCCATCATCCATACAAGAAGTACGCCTATGGAGATGCGAGAATCGGTGAGAGTAAGAGGTGAAACAACGAGACTGATATCGCTTACAAAATGGATTTGTAGACACCTCCGAATCTCACAGGGGCACTTGCAAGTCATTTCTTGGTCGAAAAGAGTTCAGGAAACACGTTTTTGCTCTGTGTAACGTGTCAGATCTTCAGACCTTAGGAGGTGGCACCTGGATACCTGCTTCACACCCCAAATCAAGACCTGCATGCCAGCCATTTGGGATCTGAATTAAGATTCTAGTCGACAGGCATCAGCCAGGCCATCCTTCACTATAGCCAAATAAACTTGAGAGTGGAAGAAGCGGCATGCAAAGGCGTTTGTGAGTTAGCCTTCTTTGACCAGCAGAGGCGTGCATGGGCTCAGGTTTGAATTGGGTTTGAAGGGTGTCTGAGTGAGTGACAGTCACAAACGCGTCTTGACGCGTCCTCCGCCAGCGTGACATTACAGGCAACCACTGATCCCGACACGCTGCGATACCATTTCCCCTCCTCAACTTCGATGCCCATGTCTGATCTTTACGCATCCTTGCAAGTGTTCCCAAGAAAGAAACGGTACCTTCCGGAGCTTGATGATAGTAACACTCTCACTCCGAAGAAAATGAGGACTGCGTGTGTTTTGTGGCACTAGATATGTGGTTCTTCCATTCTAACATTCCCAACAGGCCTCCAACACCTCCTCCTACGAAGTCTCGGTCCAAAAGTGAAAACCAAAAGCAGCCCTTGCCCAGACCGCTTACGCGACTCCACAACCTACATACAGCCTTACAACATGCTCTCTCACATGCTCTAGCGACTTGTGCTATCTCGCCAACTGCCGACTCTTCCATCGTCAGAAATGTTCTAAATCATATTTCTCTCACTACCTACTCAGGCTTTTCTACATCTTTCGAGCTCGATGATCTGAAGCGACTTTGCTGGTTGTGGGAATGGGATGGCTACTCTCTGGAAGGAACACAGAAGAAGGAGGAAGAAGATAACCCTTTCTTGGAATCTTATTCTAATACACCAACCTCGGATTGGACTCGAGGCTCAATGGGTCTTATAATCAGCCCAGCGACTCATTATTCCAAAGTCGACCGTAAACGAGTACCTGCCTATGGAATTGGCATCGAGGTTGAAATGGATATTGATAAGGACATGGAAAGTGGCATGGCCGCTGTCGCGCGCTGGACTGCAGGCTCCGATAAAAGACGGTCCGAATTTCTTACAAAGCTCGAACGTTGGGTCGAAGTAGGTTTTTCTGTTCTCGGAATTTCCCTCGTTTAATACCCCTCCCAGATTCACAAAGACGGTTCCTCGATTCCAAATGTTCCATTAGCTGCCATTCCTGAGCTTTCAGCCTCGAAAGTCTCTGCTTTAACTCGGACCTTGGCGTCCTGTTCGCCGTCTGCAGCTTCTTCCATCAAGTTACCCGGTCCCCCTTCATCCCCTTCCCGGTCCCCGACGAAGCGATCAGCTCGTGAATTTGCTATATCGTTTCCCGGTGATCTTTCTTCAACATCACCCAGAAAGAAGAGCACCGTTTTATTCCCTCAGACCCCTTCGCGCCACCAACGGGTAGCAGGCCCTCCAGACACCCCGTCATCGGCAGCTTCTTCCCCATCCAAAGACTCATCTATTCCCTCTACCCCAGTCCATCAACGGATTTCCAACGATACCCCAGTGCAGACACCAACAAGTTCGCGCAGACAGGCCTTGTATGAACGAGTTCGCCAAAGATCATTGTCTAGCTCACCGACAAAGGTGCAGCGTCACTCGATCCTTGTCTCTCCAACGAAGATGACAAGAGATCAGCTTTTGAAGCTCAGTCAGGACCAAATGAGGCGTCGGTGCCTACTCGGTCGATTAGGAGGTGTAGCGGAGAGCATTTGGATGTCGGTTCCCTGCCCTTTCTTCATATTTTATGTCGAATGCTAATGACCTGTATAGGCTTTTCTCACATCCTTCTGGGAGCGGTTCTTCGACCCCTTCGCGCAAACGTCGTTCTCTACCTCTGACCGACGTCGTTACTGCGGTCATTAAATCTTCTCCAGTCCCGATATCATCAGCAGAAGCAAATGAATCCATCCTCATGTTAGTGAAGCTATGCCCGTTCTTCCTAAAGAAGATAGATATATCTGGCCAGGACTGGTTGGAAATGCCGGCTAGCAGTCCCAGCACGACAACCCCCCTGGTGGAGGGATCCCCTACGAAAGCCAGGCCTACAGGATCTTCTAGTCCGGGAAAGCATAAAGGAAAGGAGGAAAGTGCGCAAGAACTTGTCACTCGTAGTCCAAGAAGGGTAAAGAAGGAGGTCGGAGGCTTGCGTGAAGTTCGTGAGATCATTCGTCGAGAACTGGAACTCGAGGACTAAGCAAGGACTCGACGCTTCATCTACATGTTATTTAGTTGCTATGTACAATCTCGACCATTTCACTTCTCTATTTGTCCCAATAAGTAGATACATTCAACATTCCGAGTGGATTTGAACCACTTATAATTTGCCCATACTATGGTTAAAAAGAAAGAAAGAAAGAAAGAAAGAAAGAAAATACCGGCCTTCTAGGAGGTGAGAAAACCGAAAGGAAGTCGTTGTCCATATACATGAGTACATAGTTCACATTGCCAGCAGGTCCTTCCACAGGTCGTTCAAATGAAAGAGGCTTGCAAGGTGCCCACCACTAACTGATCGGAAGTGCGCTTTCTTGTAAGTCGCTGCGAGCCACTTGGCCATACCATCAGGAGCCATAGTATCTCCTTCAGATGCAACGATGACGATGGGACGTTTGGCGTGATCTTCGTCGAGGGAACCTGGATTGAAACCCCAATCCCCATGAATAATATTAGAAATTTCCAAGAAACCATCCCACGTTTCCTCCACGCTCCGATACATGTTGTCCCCCAAGTCACGCTCGACCTGAGCTTCTGTCCTGTCGTTATCTTGACTCCATTTGGTGAAAGCGGCGCGTTCTTCGTCCCCCATCTTGTTGAAAAATGTCTCCCGAATGAAGGCTTCCGTTTGCTCCCGTGTCTTGAATTTGTGGCCCAAGGCAAGGGATCCCAGACGGGCAATAAGATTGAAGGGGATATATTGCGAGGGTGGACCGACCGCTAGGTAATTCTGCAAGGTCATGTCGTTCTTGTACTCCTTGTGTAGCTTGAACGGAGAGAACGGTGCGAGAATGAGGCATCCCGCGACATGACATCCAGGAGGGAAGACGTCGAATGGTGCTCCATACAGGACCTGCGCGGGGACGGTTCCATAGGAACCTCCGGAGAGATATATCTTGGTATCTTCTTTCAGCGGGTGAGCTTGCTCGATCAAGGAAGCGATGTCGGCTGGGAAGGAGAGGTGGTACGGGATTTGCTTGTTTCTTGGAGATGACTTGCCCCATCCAGGAAGAGTCGGAGCAACGAAATGGAAATCGCCTTCTACGAGAACGCGGGGAGGATTAGACGCATTGCCCACTCCGAATGCGCCATGGAAGAAAATGATGAGAGTTGTGCTAGAGGCATCGCCAGATTCGGAATACGCCAACGTTCGTCCGTCGGGGAGCTTGTGGTATTTCTCTGGTGCGGTAGTGCTCATCGACATGGCTGGAGAAGAGTTGTGAGTCAATCTGGAGCAAGGTCAGTCACGATGGAGGCTCTTATTCGCTTCGATTCTTGCTGCGGAAAACTGAGACTTGAACGAATGCATGATAGCAATCTACGCGAGGTATACATCTAGAGGCAGGCTCAGCGCCGCTGTCAGCAGCAGACTGTGCTTTGAGTGGTTTTGAGACTGCGACACTGCGGCGCGGTCCTACAAGGAGCATGTATAAGGGACAACATCCTGGACTCACTGACGGACGTTGATATTGATCTTCCACATTACTGGCATTTGCAGAGACAGTAGACAGACTGACGAAGGGAGGCTCCCGAGCTTTACTTCAGCACTAATGGTTCTCTAAGCTCCTTTCTTTGCTTCGGCTTCAAAAACAAAACAGTCTACAACTGATCCTTCCTTCCTGCTACGTTCCGCAGCAAACACAGTGAGGTGGCTCTTCAAGATTTCGTTGACATCTGTCCCTAGATAGTCTTGTCGATTCTCGCGGACTGCTTGGACGAAAGCACGTATTAGGCCAAGGTCTCCTCCTCCATGACTTCCCTCGTTCTTCGGTCGATGAACCCTGGTTGTTCGCGTACGAAAGTCTGTCACTGTGAATGAATTCATGTCGCCGATAATTTCTCCTTGAGTAAAGTGCATCCGAGTCTGGCGTTCGCAAATCGCGAACGTAAACGCCACCATCGTGAAGGATGCGGTCGATCCATTCGAGAACTCGATGTTAACAACTTGGTTGTCGCAAACATCATTGGAACTTTCGTAAACACAGAGCCCGTAGGCTCCATTGTTGAGCGCTTCGGTGACGTTCTCGATATCTGGCAGGCCGTCCACAATCGTTTCGGCGGGCCAACCAGTATTACCATGGGAGACAGGGTCCAGATAGACTAAATTAAAACCTTTGAGTTCCGACCAAACAACGATCGAAACAACTGAACCACTGACTTTTCTTCGCGCTGTATGCACAATCCTTCTCAATTGGACATTGCAAGCAGCGCTCGGCGTCTCCTGCTCCCTTCGGCTTCCCATACTTATGGAAATGCCGCAATGAGCCAAAGGAAGATATCCTTGTTGGTGTTGCCGGAGAAAACCAATGGCAAATTAAGTCTATGTCGCTATGGATGAATGGATGAGAATAGAGCTATTAATCGGTGAGATGTTTGAACTTACTGGCAACACTTGGTCATCAACGAGAACGAACTTTCTTTTTCATTTGACCAATTACCTCGAACGTAGGAATGGGCGAAGTGGTAGTGCCCAACAGGCTCAACTTGCACCACGTTGATCAATTCACCCAAAGCACTAGATCGGACGATCTCCGTTATTTCGCGGCTATAGGGAGAGTACCGCATGACTAAAGACAGGAAAACCCATTTTGAATAAAGTGTGAACTGATGGATTGTGTCTTACCATGACCCATCCCAAAGATAATTCCTGCTGTTGTAACTGCAGTCTGCATCTTTATACAGTCTTGAATACTCGTCGCCATTGGCTTTTCGCAAAGGATATGGTAGCCCTGCTCGGCGAATGCAGCAGTGACTTCAGGATGAAGGTGATCTTGGACGGCAATTATGACAGCATCTGCAAGACGCTTGCCAACAGTATTGATAGTTTCAGCAGATGCCGCATGAAGCTCTTGCCAGGTGTTGAAAACTAGGGTAATGTCGACCTTGTGCAATGCTGCGAAGTGTTTCCTGGTCTTTGGACGGGGCTCGGCAATTGCAACAATCCTGCAGCTCTCGGGAGAACTCAAGGCATATTTCGCGTAAGACTGCGAGAATGATCAGTCGTCCGAGATTGTACACGGACAACGCAATGAAGTTACCTTTCCTCGCTGGCCACACCCTACTACTGCAATCGTGACGATGTGATTCAGACCTAATCTCGTTGGATCTGGATGTGCGAGATGTATACCGTAGGGAGAGTCTTTCGTGCTTATCGATCTCCTCCAAAGGTTCTTCGTGTTATTTATGAGGGAAGACATGCGGGACACGTTGCAAAGAGAAGTGCCGATGTGGCAGAGGCTTTAGAAATAGAGCAGAATGCATCTGGGTGATAGGTAGTGCTGTGCTTCGTTGACATTCGACCCTGCTGACGACACAAACAAGAGCAAAATCTGCATTTGGACAGGTTTGTCTCCTTTGGTTGGTGCATGCCGCGCATTTTACCCCGTCTCATCCAGCGGATACAGGACCAGGTTGGCCAGCCTAAATTCTTTCCTTTTCCTGAACGCTCCAAAGGCCCCAAATCGTTATACCAACCTCCACTTCCTGCCCCTTCCTTTCGGCCAACCGACTATGACCAATCTATTCTGCTAATGCCAAGGAATCCAGTCGCCAATGCGAAAGACTATGTTCGCCATAAAAGGCTTCCTCCCAGTCTATCCCGTCCAAGGGAAAATGCAAGGCAACTTGACCCACCGAGGCAAATGACGGACTCGGAATTTGGATGGTGGGCGAATCCATACAGTGCGTCCTTACTTGCGGCTCGTATAAGGCCACTAACAAGAGTTTATCATGTAGTGAGAATGCTCAAGTCTCCCATGCGCCTATGTTCCGTTACCGACCGTGTTTTACCGACAGGTGGCGTTGCACTTCCCCACTGGCACAACTATCGTTTAAACAGACCACACTTCAGATTTTCTCATTCGTTTGGTTGGCTTGCGACTGCCGCCCTCCCAGCTCTCTGTTTCTCAGAAGCAGAAGAGCACGATAGTCCTTGCCGCAGACGGACTCCAACACCCAAAATACACAAATCGGAAAGCAGGCTCGGGAACGTATGTTCTGTGTTGGCGGAAGGCAGTCCAGCAGCTTCGAAATAGGGGCATTAGGCGTATGGAAGGGAATGTAACGATTTCTCCCCGTCTTGCTGACCAAATCGCACATCTTCTCCGCCTACGCGTTCTCCAGGAGTTTGAGCTCCTCACCGAACGATTGGAATATGCGGTCAGGGCAGGGAAAAATCTAGGAGATCATGGTGTTACACTGACACGTCTGACTCGTGAAGAATGGGGTCAAATGAGGTCCACAGGGATAATGCCTTTCGAGAATGCCGTTGCCATCCTAGTCGTACCCCCAGTGAACAAAGACACGGTTACAAAGGAACGACCTCGACCCAGTATGACAGCCTTACCTTTGAACGACAAGGATGAAGTCGGGGATCTGCTGCCTTTATCTGTTCTGGTGCCTGCGTCCTTAGATCCAGTAGACCTCCTTGACGTCCTGCCTTATCTCCAAGTCCCTCTATACAATAGTGTTTCGGCATTTCCAAGTCGTTCCCAACGTTCTGCTCTGCACTCCTTCCTACTTCGCATCCTCGCGGCCGAACGCTTCGTAAAGCGACTACACGGCAAAAGGCGACCTTCTGAAGCAAAACCAGCACATGGCAAAGCAAGTCATGCCTTTCTTCTCTGTTCAGACGAGGGCAGTGCTAGACGAGGAGATTGTGCAGGCATCGCTCGGGCCTTGTGGAGACTGAGGATGTACGAGAGCGAGGGTTGGTCATCATAGATAACACGCCTGTCCTACGGCCCACTCGTTCTAGACCGTAATTTCCACTCTGCGTTGCATTGTTGTTGCATAGCCTTTCCTCTACCTACATAAGTTATGCTTCCATTGGCACCGCGGTGTCGACAACTTTCTTGCTCGCGTCACCGAGCACTTCCTGCCCTTCCCAGAACCTCGGCAGTTTGTCTCCGGGAACGAAGAGCCTCTCAACAGTGTCCTTCGTGATAACACACATGCGGATGACACCTCCAGATGATCCATCGCGAGACATGGCGAGAGCCAGGGCTAGAATCCGTTGTTAGCAATAAATTCTCAGTGAAAAGCCAGTTACGCACTGTTCTTGACAAAGTTGATTGTTTCATCGCGTCCCCAACCTTCCTGATAGGTCGCATCACAGTAACCATATACGTATGTCGAACCAGAACCTGCGAGAATGAATAGGTAATGCTAGGACTCAACGCTCTTACGAACCTCCGATCGCCCATGGTTGGCGGAAGAGCCCTCCTCCCAGAGGGATGTTATACACGCTAGGTCCTGCGGATTCATCCCAGCCAGCAACAATGATGCCAGCACTGAGGGCGTCCTTGTTTTCGTAGCACATCTTCTGGAACATCGCAGCCGCGGTGTGCACTGTTGGGGGCTTCCCAGCGCTTTGGCTTGTAGAATACCTCAGCTATCTTGACTGCAGGAATTTTGGGACTGCATACCTGAACATTTGCATGTAATAGTGGACGATGTCCGCAACAGCCTGGGTATCAGCTGCTGAACCCGAACGACAACAGTAGATGCGATCATGGACGTGAGTGAGCTTGTCCGTAACGCGATTTGCCTATAAATCGGGGGTTTTGGGATCAATGCTAGATACGTGCATATCGTTGGCCGAAGTCATACGATGTAGCTGCCGGTCGTAGTTCGACTGTCAGCGCCGATGACGACTCCTCCATCGAACTGGACGGCCATAATAGAGGTCTACCAATCAGGTCAGAACAGAGAATAAGAGAGATCAAGAATAAAACATACACCAAGGTTCACCTCTCCAGTCTTGAGGCGATTGAAATCGACTTGTTCCATAGTAAGCAGCTGTGAGGTGGAGGATGAGAGGTGGCGAGTATGTAGAAGAGTGTGAAGGCCAATCAGGGTTATAGAACTGATCAGATTCAGAGCTGACGCGTCTCAATTGATACACGCGTCCCCTTCTTTATTTGTTCATCCACCACCTCTAATACCATCTTCTCCACCTCCCTCAACAACACATGGCTGCACAGTTAAAAACGTTATATGATGAGCTAGTTCGCGCCTTTTCCTCCAGACCTTCAGATCTCAAGAAATGCACAGAAATCCTCCCGAAGCTTAAGGTAGGATAGCACACAACTCGGCGCTGTCTATTGAGATGAACTCTCTCTAGCTCGGACTTATAGAGGCTGGAGTTTTGCTCCCCCGAGGCGATGTCAATTTAGGAGACCTCGTCACCGCACGTATGTTCCTATCACTTGTACGAATTTGTAGTATGAACCCAGTCCCGCAGGTGAAATCCTTGAAATTGGCGCATTTGTCAGTATCCGGAGTCGGGATGTGCCCTCTTTCGACCGCTATTTCTCCCAATTGCAAACGTTCTACACAGACTATAGGCATGGTCTACTGGACGATTACTTTGTCGAAGCGACTGACGGTTTGAGCCCAGCGAATCGCTCCCTTCGTCGAAACGCGAGTATCCCATCCGAGGGCTAAATCTCATCCGCCTCCTCACCCAGAACCGTATTGCGGACTTCCACACGACACTAGAGAGCCTCGATGCGGAAGTCATCGCAGAGAATCCGTTCATTCGGCATCCCGTAAATCTGGAGAGATGGCTCATGGAAGGAAGCTATAGTAAGGTGTGGAATGCGAGGGAGGAAGCTCCAGCGGAAGAATACAAATTCTTCGTTGATAGCCTGATGGGCACTATCAGGTACCCAGTCATCAATTTGTTATTCTTTCTTCGTTGACGCGTATATTTCCACCAGAAACGAGATTGCGAGCTGTGAGGAAGCTGCATACGAAAGCCTCCCCCTTAAGGATGCTGCTACCCTGCTATTCTTCGAGAATCAGACAGATCTACTTAAATTTGCGCAACACGTTAGTTATTCTATAAGTATCTCTGGATTTAAATCTCATTCGCCCTGCAGCGCGATTGGCAGGTTGATCTTACAGGAGGCGCAATCGTCTTCAAGAAGAAAGGCGAAGAAAAGATGGAGATTCCCAAACAGCGTCTGATTGCAGCATCTTTGGCGTACGCTCGAGAATTAGAGCAGATTGTGTAGTGTAATATGTGCCGCGTTACGCATATCATGACTGCTCAGAGCGAAGAAATGGGATATATTACAACTAACAGCAATCTATTCAAACGTCTCGAGCGCCGCCTTCGCCTTCGCTTCTGCTTCATCAAAAAGATCTTTCGGGACGTGAACATGAAGGTTGCCGCTATCAGGTCCGATCCAAGAGATTTCCAACTCAAAGTCCTTTTCCTTTGCGTCATCGTGCACGAGATAGATGCTGGGAGATGAACATCAGGAAATATTCTGCGCGTGGAACAAGTAACGTACATTCGCGCAGCCTCCAGTACAGCCTCCCTCATCGAAAGCTCAGACAACTTAAGTTTCTCTAGCTCAGTCTTCGCCAATTGTCTTCCTTTGCCAACAGCCGCTCCATTGTAGCCCTAAATTTGATGAATAAATTCCCATTGGGCGATACATTCGTTTTTTTGGACTCACAAAGAAGACACCACTTGGTTCAACGACATAAAGTGCTGGACCATCTTGATCGACGGCACCAAGGATGGTGCTTATACCGAATGGTCGCACAGAGGAATATAGGGTGTAGGCTTGAACATAAAGCCCTAGACGATCCGCGACATCCTTCGTTCAAAGATATGTTAGTCTTCCATTGTGCTGGAGAGGAGCCACACCTTCAGTGGTGCGGGTGAGTTGTATGTCTCGCGATAATTGGCTGCTTCATCTCGGGCACGATTTGAAAGATGTCTGCCATCGGCAAGCAGACCAGCAGTAGCCTGTTCACATCAGGCCTGATTTATCAGCAAGAACGATACAGAACAGACGCACCAGACCAATATGGCGATCTATCGTTTGAATTCTTCGATTCGCCTCTGGTACGAGCAACTTGGAGTGAACCAGTTTCTCTACAGCCAATACGACGCCATGCTTGACTTTGAGGCCGATCGCGGTCCTGCATGCATGAGGAACAAGACCTCAGGCATGATAGGCGATGTTTATGAAAAGACCGCACCCAGAGTTTTCTACCGCTTTATTGGCGTATTCGACCTGGATCAGACACATTCAGTGAATTAGGTTTAGCAGAGAAGAGGGGCATACCTGGAAAATCCGACCATCTGGGGAGTATGTGCTAGCTGAAAGATCATAGCCTGTTCCAATGGATGTCATAGTTTATGAAAGGTTGAGGCAACGACGGACGAAAACACAAGGTGGAATATGGAAGGACGCGCAAGCAACTTGGAACGCGTCAGTGGGCGTGGGAAACCTAGGCGCGTCACGCCGATTGCAAGTTCAATTCTGGATGTTCACTGCAGTGTTCGACACCATGGCCAACGACGATTGGACAAACCTGCTTCATGATCACCCCATATTCTCTCTCCCAAAACCGCTTCACGATAAAAATGCAAGTTCGCTCAACGTCTTGGAACTGTCTACCAACACTCTTCAGAAGTTCACCGAGCTTGACCCTCATGAAGATGGCCTGACACCTTCTGGACGACGCCAGACCATGGTGTTTAAGGATTCAGATATAATTGTGGCAGGGCGCAAAGAGATTCGTATGGCGTCCTTTGGCGATGTCAAAATGGGTGGAAGTGCCAGGAAATCTTACAAGGTCCTTTGTCTCACGCGGCTACTACGAACCAGCTAAACCTTGTGTTTTAAGATACTGCATACCCCAAGTTTGCAATTCGAAATTCATCAAATATCCCTCAATCCTAGTGGCAAATTGCTTGCTGTGGCTGGTGCATTTCAAGTCGCTGTTCTAGTTCTGCCGCGTGCTGGCTATAGCAGGCTTGTTCCAGAGTCAGTTGACTGCAAGTAGGCAAAAATGCATCTCTCCCGAGTATCGCGCCTCAAAATTTTTTGCGTCAAGGTCTGTGCAAGTTGGCCAATTCTATCATGCTGCGCAAAATTCTGCTCCAATCGCGAAGATTGACTGGCATCCATGGGGAGAGGCTGGCTCTACTCTCCTTGTAATGACAGCTGACGGCAGATTGAGGTATATTTGTTTCTGTCCTTCTCTATTGTCGCTCAACCGCCATCACAGGGAGTACGATATATCAGTCGATACTGAAGAACCACAACAGGTTTTGACCTTCGTACCGGAAAAGAAATCCAAGAGCTTCATGGCGGAAGATGACTCCGAGCGCGAAGTTGCATCGTTTTCATTTGGAAAAGGTCGAGCCGACTGGGGTCCGCTTACAATTTATGCAGTTATGAAGTCAGGAGACATCTATTCGATGTGTCCGTACTTACCACAGAACGCGTACGTTCATCGGCCACCTTCTCGTCTGTTTGCTCCTTACCGTTCATTTAGGTCAGTACCTTCTTCGTACATCCACTCATTGGAGTGTTTTATCTCGGCCAAGCAAGAGTTTTTGACTTGCGGCGCCTCACCATACATTTCAACAAATCTATCCACCGTCTACGACTATCAGCGCAAATATGTCAATGCACTAGTCAAGCAGTTGCCGCCCGGAACCGTATTCCCTGCCCCTTCGAGACCAGTCGCTGTGTACCCTCCCACAACTATAAAAGCCCAGCCCCTTCGCCAAGGTCCATTCCTTCTCCAGCCTTCTCCAAGGCTACTTGAGGGTAGCGAAGGCGGTGATGCTACAGACATCGCTTACCTTGCGTTTGGGACAGATGACGAGGACTCTACAGATGACGTGAGGGATACTGAACATCTCGGAATCGTCTTGGTATCTTATCAGGATGGAAAAATTGACCTCTTCCTCGATGTGGAAAAAGTGGAGGCCAGATGGGATATCAAACAAGCAAGTACCTATCTGATTGCTGGAAGAGCCACTGTACTAAACATCGCCAAGACCTCAAGTCGTGAATTGCCCATGCTCGCTGTTTATGAGAGCATCGATCTCGGACTTATATCAATGCTCAACGAAGTTACTGTTGACTCGAAGACAAAGTCTATGCTTGACCTTTTACGGGCTAACCATCCGGTTTTGCTAGTTGATCCACTACACGACGACATGGTCTATGTCTATCACGCCTTCGGTGTGCATGCCCTGGACATTTCTCCCGTGCTTCAGAGTCTATCGGCTGCTTTGAAAGAAGAGTCGGAAGACGAATCTATCTTGGAAAAGAGCCTCGGAAAATCAACGGCTACAAATGTTCGGCCACTTCTAAATACTTTCTCTGTGGAAAGAGGGTGAGTGATCGTCGACATGCATTAACACTTAGCTAACTACCACGTGCAGGTGCTCCAATACAATTGTGGCTGTTGCAGTTCCAAACGACGTTTACCTCAGTTATAGTATCTTCATTCTAACGTCCATGATGCGGATGACTAGTTTCCCACTGAACATCCGGTCGGACCCAGTAATTGAAAGAAGAAGCAATGTAGCTGGATCCAGTGAATCGACTCTAGGCGTCCAGAGCCCATGGCTTATGCCAGTGAAAGGCGTTCCTAACTATATGTCAATATTGGCATCTGATCCCTACACCATTCCATCCATCCTCGCCAACTCATCTGGTCTTCCTACAAACCCAACACTCTCCTTGCCAAGCCAGCCATCTGGGTCAAAAGAATTTGTGCTCACTCCGGACACATTAAGATTCATCGGCAAGACCGTGGCCCATATCTCTGCCCAAGTCCAGGAAATCCACATTGCCTACCGGGCCGCGGCTACACGGCTAGCACTTCAAAAGCAAGAGTTGGGCCGGCTAACTCAGAGATGTAGAGACGCGGAAGCGTCCGTTGAGAGATTAAAGGGGCCTACGAGGCAGGTCACCGATATGAGGCTTGCCCGAGTTCAGCAGGAGCAAAAGGCTTTGTTGGCTAGGCTGGATCGATTGCTTCAAGCACTGATGGAGAAGGCTTCCCCAGAGCTGAGTGAGCATGAAACCAAATGGTTCGAAGAGCTCAAACGTATGAAGGAAGACGTACTGGGGAGAGGGAGGTACGATGAAAATTCTTTGCTCAACCGCGTGCGACTGGTATGCAATCCTGCTTTCGGATCTCCTGTTCTTCCTGACTATCTTTTACAGCTTGAGAAGGAGTATAGACGAATTCTGCCATCTTTACAAACTCTATCCGAGAAGGAGAAAGTTAGGAAGCGACTAGAAGAAAGTCAAAGCCTTGGGGTCTCTCAGGCATTCGAGTATGGTGAACGATCAAATATTCAGTACGCTTCAACCTGCTATCTTAGCTGATCCTTGCGTTGATTCTTTCCCCACAGCCGAACACGGATCGCTGGCATTGAGAAGCAAATCTCGAAACTAGCTGTCCGTATGGACCTGCCACTAAGTCGGCACCCGTCAGGTTCATGAGAGAACGACTACGTGTATTATTTTCAGGTTCTCTTCGTCTATTGCTGTCTCATGCTTTCTGGTCAATAGTATTCTTTGTATCTCAAGGTGGAATGGTCATTAATCGCGTTAATCGACATGAAGGAAAAGCGCAGGTTGACGGCCTTAGTACACGTAGCGGACTACAACGGTGTCAGTGGTGAATTCGTTGAGATAAAGGGTAACACAACACACAATCCGGGTTTTCACGATCGGTCAAGTCATCAAAAGCATGTCTATGTTCGATGTGTTCATCTGCCTCCTGTATTCTCGTTCAGGGACCGAAAAATAAGTGATAAAAATGGTCACGTACAATTCCTTCATCGCTTGCTTTCTCGCCGACAACAATGCCCTGCGCACGGCGTTTTAAGATGTTTTGTCGCATGAGGTGGAGTCGAAGGAGGAAGATCGTCGCCAACTGGATGCCGTACATGACGATGTGCGCAACAAAGGCTTTGACGTATCGCGGAGCTTCTGTCTCGCGAAACACTAAAGAACGGGGCGTTCAGCTTATCGTTTGCCTCTGATTTTGAGCAATATGCTATAACCTTGAGGACCAACGGCATTGCCTACTGCCCATGCGCTTCGAGAGTTTGAAGACCGTCAGATACACCCGATACAGTACAAACGATGGGAGGATGCTCACACAAATACGAGCGTTGATGCAACGGCTTGTTTTGTACGCTATTCAACATCTATGAGACAAGGAAACAGGGCCAATTGCGAAGAACATACCCCAGCCACGTTCCCAGACATGACGGCGAGGTTCAAAACAGCCACAGCCCCGAATCCTTGCGTGCAGCTGTCATCATGAGTTCGCTTGTCCACAAGAAGCATTCAGCCGCGCTCACTAAAAGGCCAATAACAATCCGACTTTCGTCTTCTCCGAAGTTGGAACACCTAAAGACCAAGTAGTTGTCAATGTCAAATCTCCCAACCTCAAGAAAAACCACGCACAGAGAAACACGATTGTCCCTGCAACGTTCGGCAATGTGTAGATCTATAATCGAATAAGAAAACCTGTCTTCGGCCAAGCATCGAACGAGATACATACGAATGCCAGTAGCAGTCTCTGATTGTATTGCTTGGAAAGGTATGCAGCACTGAAGAGAAACAGCATGATGATAACACCTGCAGTGCAATGTAAGCATGTGGCTCATGACAATTAGGTGAAATGTCGGACCTTGAGCGATCGCCAGTAAATAAGTCTGAAGTTGAGTGAACCCCTGTTCCAGATAATCGTAAATTCTACCCGCTGCGTAGCTAGATGTGGATGCCTCACGAAAGCTTTAAGAATGATGTTCGAAAACGCTCCCAATCCGCCTGTGGGGAGCGCATTGGTAAACGAAATCAGCACAATGCCCCACACCGTGATGTCCTGTAGAGCTTCGCCTAATGGCCCCATTGGTCGTGATTTTCGTCGACGAATTCGGAGGTTACGTACGAGCTTGGTGCATCTAATCAAGTCGATGAGCGGCCCAGCATTGAGTATGCGGCGAAAACCCGACCCTTACCTTAAATTTCTTATTTTGAACGCCAGTATCGTTCTTCCTCACTCGCTCTACCATGAGCAAGCGGTCCTCAGGAGAAAAGCAGTTCGCTCGCATAGGGCTATCTGGAAGCCACCATAAAACGAAGAGACCCCAAACAAAGGTCAGGCAGCCAAGTAGCTACAAAATATTCAGCAACCCATCATCGAATGTGACAAAGTATTACCGTAAACAGAATTTGCCAGTTTTTTATTTTGGCGTCTCTGACCTGAGCTATACCATAGGCGATGAGACCACCGACGCATTGTTGGAATCCGTTCATTGAATAGAAGGACCCGATGACCAAGGCCTGCTCTTCTCGCGTGTACCACATAGTTGACCTTGACCACGAATGTTTTGAGTCGCTCACATAGCAGTGAAAACGGACCAAGAACGTACATGAAGACAAATGCTGGTTGACAGATGCACTCGAAAATTCCCAACAGCGTTCGGACAACCACGAGGCCAGCGAAATTTTTGCAAGCAGCAGTACAGGCAAGGACGACGCCCCATGCCATTATACTGGGCTACGGGGTCAAAATTCTCATCATACAAATAATGCACAGGTTCCACGCACTTGAAGGACAGGTACTTGGCTATTGGAAAGCGCTGTAGAAGACGGTTGGTAGGGAACTCCCACACAAGGCTCGAGACGGTGGTTGGTCATCAAAGTTATTAAGAACAGAGACCAAAGACCTACATGGCAATGTACACTGAAAATATGTGATCAGGTCACTCGTCAATCCAGGTTTGAAGGAGACGTACCACAGGTTGTCAACCAGGCGTACTCTTGGCCCACAAGGTTGGTGTCTTCACGGATGCCCATGATTGAGGCGAAATTTATGGTCCTAGATATAGTCAAGATCTCTAGACCAATAAAGTTGGCGAAGTGAAACGCACCCTTTATCTAGAGCCTGGGTGACTGCAAAAGAATGGGTGGGGCGAAGGGTCTATAAACTATGAGGCAACACACAGTATGTTATAACCATAACAGTCTAGATACAACTTTTCAGTCCGAGAAGGTCAAGAGTTGGATAAGCTACTCACAAGAACGCGTTTGTGTATCATCCATCGAAGTCGTACATTCGTCGCTTCGTCGATAACGACGGCCTTCGACACTCCTTCGCTCTGCGCGAAAAAATCCGCTACTTCAGCGTCAATTCCTAGAGGACATCGTCAATACTTCGCCATAACGATCAACAGGTCATACTTACCGGCCGCATGCTTGATCGGCAAGTCTTGGGACGAAGTGAGAGGCGATTTGCTAATTTCGTTGTCTTCCGCTGTGGTCATCTTGTGCAACCTTAAAGAAGCACTGGAAAGAATTCGTACATGATAAGCGTGGCTTTTGTAGAAACGGGTCTGATGAGTGCGGCCCGGCGCTAATTTCCACTCCGTGGACACATCAGGAATCATGTTTTCCGTGATATGGAGGTGATCCAGTGACACAGTCATTTGCCCCCCGGCGGGCCGGTTTTCACGTTGGTACATTGCTTCGCGCACCCCAAGCGGAATCGGTAAGTCTATAAAGCAGCCTTCGTTGACGGTGCCTCCCGCCCAAGAAAACATGTCTTCCAGAAACGTAAACCCCGTCAAAGTACAGGTCCTAAGGGATATTCAAAAAGTAATCAATTGTCTCGTCAACATCGAGGATGCTACTGGCGAGTACCTCATGACTCTTGCGGATGGTCGGGTCATCGACACGAAGGGTTGGAATGATTGGGAGGTAAGCGTCTGTGGCTTGTTTGATTATTGTTGGGTCTTACCAGAGCGCGCATAGTGGACTCACGGCATTGGTAACGCTTGCCTCTAGTCCATTGAGTATTCCATTCCTAACCACAAATGATCAGGTCTGTATGGGCTTTGGCGGCTCTACGAGATAACGGGAGACAAGAGAGCCCTGGACATTTGTGTGGACTGGTTTAATGCCCGGTTTGAAATCGGTACCTCCAAGGTAAGAGGTCAAAGTGATCTGCATAGTTTCCGTCAGCCAACGTCTGTTTGCAGAACGTCAACACGATGTCACCATTGCTAACAGCAGCCTACGTCCATCAAGCGAAGCTCGCAAACTATCTTGTGCACCTCGAATCCTGGGCTGAATGGGTCATGTATGATATGCCACGCACGGAGGAGGGGGGCTTACAACATATCACGTATCTCGACGCTCACCCACAACAACTTTGGGATGATACATTGATGATGAGCGTACTACCGTTGGCGAAGATAGGCCTTGTGCTGGGACGCAAAGATTATGTCGAGGAGGCCAAAAGGCAGTTCATCCTACAGTGAGGCGAGTCAGATCACCCCATATATGCACTGACCAGCTTCCAGCGCACAGTACCTGCGCGATGTCCAATCCGGACTGTGGTTTCATGGTAAGCCTGTCTATCGATGGTGGACAGCGTAGTAATGTGCCTGTGCTTCGCTTTCAGGTTGGACGTTCGCTGGAAGACATCACTTTGGCCGCGTCAGATGGGCCCGAGGAAACTGCTGGATTACTGTCGCAATTCCGGACTTCCTGGAGTTGTTGGAGCTATCCCCGGGCGATGGTCTACGACGGTTTTTGATCTCTACGCTGCTGGCACAGATCGATTCCCTTGTCGCATGTCAAGACCAAGAATCTGGTCTCTGGCATACAGTATTGGATGATCCAACTTCATACCTGGAGGCTTCTGCAACCGCTGGCTTTGCATACGGGATCCTCAAGGCATTGAGGCTTAGGCTGATTCCCAAGGAGACACGCTATGTTGACGCCGGCAAGAAAGCAATCCAAGGAGTGATAAACAATATATCGGATGCTGGAGAATTGCTGAACGTGTCATTTGGGACGCCGGTTTTCAATGATGCAGAAAGTTACAAAAAGATTCCTTTGACATCCATGCCATACGGACAAAGTCTTGCACTCCTGGCCCTTACAGAGTATTTTAGGACGTTGTTGTAGAAAAGAAGTTGGGATCCATTTTCTCATTTCCTCGAGTTATTGGCGATGACTTGCTCGAACCTGCAATTGCCTACCCTGATAAACGGGAACAAAATAATCTTTGAAGTTCCGGAAGTCGTCGATACTGCAGGGGGAAATGAGTACGGTGCATTGATAAGCTGTTTTTCCTGACCTTGTTTCAACGATCTCTAATTCGAGCCTTTTGAAAATATAGGCGAATATCAGGTAAAGTTCTGCCCATGCCATGCTTCAAACAAATGAGTTGAGGACGTTCTCTTAGTACCGGCGACATACCTCATCCCAAGACACATACGAGGTCCCTTGGAGAAGGCAACAAGATAGCGATCAAGGTTTGGGGTGTTTCCTAGCCATCGTCCAGGGATAAACGAGTCAGGATTCTCGAACACAGAAGAGTTCATGTGAACGGCGGTGACGCTCATTCCGACCGTAGTCTAAGTAAGAGGTCTCTTGTTAGCACAATAACTGAGCCGTGTAACACCACAGACCGACCGCGGGTGGAATATGGTGTCCTGCGATGGTCGCGCCTGAAGGACCAACAATTCTGGGTAGTGGTGTTACAAACCCGTGAGACAAGCGCAGCGATTCCTTGATAACAGCGGTCTGTGGGCGTTCGAATGTATTAACTTGAATCAATGCGATAAAGTTAGCAACATACCAGGTAAGGCGAGTTTTGCAGGACTCGTAGGTCAATAGAGTCGTCCTGGTCTGGCCACACTGCTTCCAATTCTTTCATAAGCCGAGAATGCACGGTCTTGTCGTTAAGTACGAAGAACGTCCCAACTGTGCAGGTATTGCCAACCGTATCGCTTCCAGCTTGAAGTAGGGATAAGGATTCGTCAATGAACGCCTTTGGATATGCAGCCGTCTGTGATTCCGTGGTCGGATTGTTGAAAAAAAGATGGCAGATTGTGGAGGTTCCGGGTTCGGAACAGTCATGCACCTCTCGAGACGTACGATCCAGCCAAGTAACGATAAACGTTCTGATCTCGAGAAATGCGTGGAATTGGTTGGTTATTCTGCATTGCAGCCGGTCAGGGACCAGCTGAAAAACGCATATCATCCAGGAGAACGACTTGATGAGCCACAGGAGAGGCAATGCATCCTGGATGCTCAATAGGAGGGGTGCAGAGAAGTCGGGATGATCAAGAGCACCGAGGCAATGACCGAACATGTAGGAAGTGATAATATCCAAAGTCGCACTCCTGAAGGCAAGGAACATGTTCGCAGGTTTTTCGCCTCTTTCCCCTAACTTATGGACAAGAAGTTCAACCTATTGGGATGCCTCAGCGTGGTCGTATTTCATGATCAAAGCGAGGCGAACCTTTTGGCGGACTGTACTCTCCAATTCGAGCACGGCGCGACGAGAAAAGAAGGAGTGCATGACACCTCTACGAGCCTTCGACTCGTTAGGATCGATAACACCAAATGCTGAGTCACTGGCATTGAAACAAAAATAAAACGAAGGGTCCTTTGTGAAGCGTGATCCCACGGAATAAATCTCATGGTACGCCGTGGGGTCATTGAAATGCAACTAGAAAAAGCGGATTTCAAAGTCGGGACATTGAAGTAGAACGTATACAAACTTCATTGGGACCAATTCGGATGACAGAACCTGGTAGCAAAGACAAGTCAGGAGCAAGGCTCCCTGGCGCAAAAAGAAATACGTACCGTGTATCGCATGCAGGCGATGGATCTCGTGAAGTAATTCTCCACCTTCGACGACTTCGTAGTATGCCTTATACATGGACGTTACCGCCGCAAGCCAAGGGCCGGGGAATCTAGACAGAGGATGGAAAAATATTCTTCTGATTGCCAGTGAAAACATGAAGAGAGCCAAAAGAGCGAAACCCCCGATAGAACTTGCTAGGGCCATCCAGGCGTTCAAAGGGTAAAGGCACGGGCTCATAGCCGGTGACTATGGGGCAGATACTCAGCAACCTTTATAAGTGGCTGATGCAACAGACGGTGCCCGATAAGTTTGACAGCTCAGTTGAAGGGGGAAACCAGTAGTTTCCGCCAGCGCACGATCAAGGCACTCGGTATCGAGGACGGAAGCACCCCGCCTTGCGACAATGGCAGATATAGGTCCATCCCCCATTGGCCTAGCGGATGATCTATTTGAGCATTGATTAAACAGTCAACACGATTCAGCGCGCACCGAGAATCTAAAACGTAAGAATATACATACACAGCACGCGGCGGCGGCGCCCTGAACAATGTAGCTTTTTATGACAGTCCTATCCGCGGCACCACAGGAAGGGTTTGAGGCGGCCGGGTAGTGACGAATCGCCGAATGATATCAGAAGGAAAAGAAACCCTTGGAACGATAGGAGCTTGACCAGCTGCTTGGGACACTCGGCAGCGGAGTTGAGCACTGATAGCGAAGATTGAGCATGTTAGGAGAAGAGCACCTGAGGAGAATGGAGAAGGGAAGAAAACTGGGTCAAGCTTGAAGCTTGAAGGTTGCCGTTGTCTGATCTGCATGCTTCTGCAGGATGCTTCCAGTATTCCAATCGCTTCAGGAGATCAGGTACAGTCTGCTGGTGATAAATCAATGCACACCACGGATAATTTCGACAAGAGGAAACACGCTTCTCAGGCGCCTCCAACTTGTTCTAAACTATTGGGTAACCTTAGTGAAGACCTGGAGGCTCCTTATGTATGCAGTAAAAGAGATCAAAGTGCCTGTTAAAAATGCGGAGATTTTTTGTAAGCCGCCATTCTTATCACCAGGTGACTCGCAGCACACCAAAGAAGTCGGCATTGACAACGCACGACATGATCCAGAGCGGGGTTCCTAATGGCTCCATGGCAGTCTTGACGCGCTCTTTTCGCAAGCAACTCGCGCCGATAGTCAGTTCAAAGATCGAGAGGGCGGAGATACGGCCGCAAAGAGCACTGTCAGCTGTCGGGGAGAATCGTGCCCGTCGTTTGCAGAGACCGTTCAGACCTCAAGGCCTCAGGACCGATACAACAGTGGCTTGATCAAGCCTGGTTATGAGTTGAGAATGCTCGTAGATGCGTTTATCATGACTTCCGCGTAAAAAGTGGGAATGTTCGAAATGGACAATTTGCGAGTGGCAGTAGTTGAGACAAGTGACGACGATCACGTTAGTCTCTAGATGGACCTAATAGATGCAAACGTAGTCGATTGTACCTGGTTAGGAAACACTCCATGTTCTCGTCTACCGCATCAAGCTTTGCTTTGGCCTTGCTACACTCAGGCTCGTTGTTCGCCACCTGAAAACTACGGAGTACGTTAAGATTATTAAGTAACCGCTAGAAGCGGAGGGCTCGCTGCGCCATCCTAGTCCGCGAGTTCCTGTCAAATTAGAATTTTTGCGCTGCAGTAATTGTCTTATATTTTTTGGCCTGAGCCTAAGTAACAAGGGCTGTCGGAGAAACCCCGGTCTTCATGATGCGGCATGAGAGGACGCACCTCAGGTTGCCAGAACACCGATACAAGGTCCCCAAAGGTAAGTTTTCTTGGAGAATCTTATTCTGTGGCACATGAATGGTCTACATGCAACTTTACAGAGGAGGATACGTCCTCCATCCCACGGAATACGACTCACCAACATCGACCCAGAGGGCCAGTTTCTGCAGCAAGAGTTTGGCCTTGTTTGTCCGGGCCCTCCAGCCCTTTAGTGGATGATTTGCTCGCTTCGCTCGCAATTAGATGAAAAAATTACCGATCTTATAGATAATGTCTTGAAATACAAGTAGATCATCGATTTAGAGTATTGGGTTGGCCCTCCAGACTGCCGACTCTTGGGAGCCCGTTTCGTAGCCTGCCAACTAGACTGCTCTCCCTGGTCCCATTACCGCTTCTTTGGCCGTCAGACCCATACCAACTCATCGTCCTCCTTCTGCCAGTTGGGGTATGTCCACCTCGTTCGATGTCTAAGTTGTCCTCTCGGTCTCGGAGAGGAGTCTCACGCGGAGGTGCATGAACAAGGAGAAGATGCTAACAGAGAGTCAGTTGTGTTGAGAGAAATATTCAAATGGGAGATCATACCTGAGCAGGAGAAATCGCCATCACCCCAACTCCACTTCGTTTGTGCCTCAGCGCTGGGGTCTCTCTCGGCCCATTCACCCCACTCGGTAGAACGAGGGTGGCGTGCCGTCTCCTGCCAATGGTACCCATGCCTAATCGGGCGCCATCAGAATTAGTTGGGGTAGCATCATTTGTATTCTGCGCTTCTTCTTCAGGGATAACGTCTGCAGAGTGTTCGGCGCTAGAATCCGTAGGCGACCAGGCGATGATAAATACACCTGTAAAGGTAGCCGCGCAACCATATAAGAAAGTTACAATCTCGTGGAATTTAGCCTTCTGAAAGTCGCCGTAAAGAATCGCAGATCCAATGATTGCTGATAAAGTGAATAAAACAAATTGAATGGGAATGACGACCTAGGGGCTTTTAGATGGTCGCTTCAAAGGATATGCTCTACATAGATAGACTTACTTTGCTATCAAATCGCATCAAGGCTCGATTCAGATATCGAATTTGACCAACTCCAGTCAGTATTAGTGTCTGAGAGACATCAGATTTCTGGGGATGCTTCCATCCAGTCAAAGCTCACCGCAATCAAAGGATATGTGATCCACTGAGTGAAGATTTCGATCCATTGGGACGTGAGCAGGGTAGACAGTGCCTTCGTCGAAAGCACAGTAAACCCACCTGTAATTGAGGCGTGAGATCGGGATGATGCTTGAGTTATATTCAGGATGGGTACCGAACAGTGCACACAGTCCAACGTCAATGAAAACCCAACGCTTGCCGAGCCTTCCCTCGGACAAAGTGCCCAATGTGATAGCGCCGGCTACATATACGCAAGAATAGGCAATAAAAGACGTTTGGGATATTGCGTGGAGAAGCGCCTCGGGGTCCAGTCCTGCGTCTGACGCGTTTGAAGCCAAGACAACGGTTACTGCCCCGATTATAGCAATAGCGACACCGAAGAGGTCACGCTGGGCGTAAGGGGCCAAATGTGAGTGTTTCTGGCGAAGAAAAAAAAACTTTCATACCTTGCGAAAATATTCTCCTAGAAGTAAAGGGGCGAAGAAGCAGTTGGCCATCAAAGCGAACTAGAAACGAAAAGAGATTCAGGATTCGTTCATTAAACAAGGATATGGGACGTACAGTACCGAGAGGGGCTACGACCGAGGCTGGAGCAAAGGCATATGAGATGAAGTTGCCCATTTCGCCAACATTCATAAGTAGGAAGCCAAGCCACCTAATAGGAACAAATTAGCATCGACGACAACCAGGTACTCTGAAGGTTTACCATAATTTAGATTTGAGGTATTCCCCCTCGTTTCCTTCCACCGTGTCTGGGCTGTCGCTATCTGGGCTATGCCCTTTCTTCCGAACGGCCAGACCGTGTAAAGCGGCGTCTTCCGTGACAATGTCAACGGGCAGAAGGCTAAGCTTCGAGACAGCCGCCTTGCCGCGAGCGCGCGATGGCACGATGCGAGACATGAAGGAACGTTTCAGTTTAACCTGAGCATTGACGGGCAGGCCAGAAGCATCGCTACCATAATCCCGAACCATAGGTTCTGGATGTGCTACAAGAGGTCGTAGTTCCGAGTTGTCTGTTGTTGGCCTATCAGTGAATACGTCGTCCTGTGGGTCGTTCCTAAAGGCTTCAAGGTCTTCGTCTCGTTCATCTAAGCTTGTATGGTCATCTGTATCGCATTAGCAGAGAGAAAACGTCAAAAAAATCGATGAACTTGCTTCGACTTTCGGCTTCGAGCACCTTCTTCTCCTTCTCAACTCGTTTGTGGGCCAGCTTCTGCAGGTTCAACGCGAGCGAAATAAGGATGTTGCCGGTAATCGCCACGGCAATTCCTATGACCGTTCTCATAGTTATTTTCGGGAGGTCGTCCATTCCCTGCCAGAGGACCCGTTGAGCTGCGGTATAGAAGTGCATATCACGGGGCTTGCTAGACACGGTTGAGGGAGTAAAGATAGATACGCTCTTGATTCAAAAGGTTAAAGGAGCGACAGGAAGCAGCATAGATGCTCGGAGGGCTATAGCGTAGGAGTGCAAGTTGTGCGTAATTCTGGCTGATCAGCTTGGAGTCTGGATGGCGCACTGATCGGCCTTGATCGGCCCGCTCGCCCCCTCACATCACCTGATACAGTAAACGCGTCTCGCTACGTCACTGAGACTGCCCACGTTCGTCCATCACAAAGCCCACCGGCAATACCTATCCTCTTACCAGACGTCGGCATGCGTCCTCGACACACGCAACATTCGTTCAACGCTTTCCCGGTGTACTCGTGCGCCTTCTTGTCGCCCAACCAACTGGTTCTTGGGGGTGGAGGAGGCGCTTCCGCGAGCGGTATCAAGAATAAACTTGTACGTGCTTTTGTGGTGAAGTATGTACGTTTGAAGCCAACATTTCAATCGCAGAGACTGTACAATATTTGTGACGACCGCTCTATAGAGCTGAAGGATGAGTTCGAACTTGAGAAAGGCGAGGATGTACCCATGAGCATGGCGGTCCATACCGAGGTAGGTTCCCGATCAAGTGGACTTTGGCATGTCTCTTTGACCATTTCTCTTCAACTATTATCAGAGTGGAAATATTATATGTGGTGTGAACAGCACTTTGGAGAAATTGGAGAAGGGAGAGAACGAGAACTGCCGCGCGTTCACCGTGTCCAAAGACAAGTGCGTCTTCTCCGAGACTTGACAAGAAATAAGACCTTATTTCAGGTGCAATCATAGAATAAAACTACTTGCTACCAAGAGGACCCTTTCCGGTGCAGACTTGGATGACTACCAAGTGAGTTTCTCCCAGCCTCTTTCTTACGACAGGGACTGACGTCCTGCAGAAAGTTACTGTATTGTCACCTGATGGCAGCATGCTGGCTGTGGCTGGGGCACGCGATGTTCGTTCGTCTCGCTATCGAAATTGTACCACAGCTCTCTGACAATCTGTGCCTAGCTCACGCTCCTCGCTTATCCCTCGTTGGTGCCCCTCGCCGAACCCATCCACACGGACAAAGAGATTTATGATGCTACCTTCTGCAAGAACTCCGTGCGTGCATGCCTCCTCGCAAGAAAGCCTTTATTGACCCGAACTCCCTAGTTGATTCTTGCTACAACACATAACCTCTTTGTATATTCCTTGCCGGATGTGTCGAGCACTACCTCGTCATCCCCGCCGCCATCGCCCAAAAAGACTAGAAAGAGAGCAAAGGTTGCGGCAAGCACCTCGACTGCCAAGGTGCAATCATTACATCTAGAAAAGAAAGTCGATTTACCCTCCTCAACTGGCGAAGGAAGTACCTTCCGTGTTGCCAGGTTTGTGTGAACCCATTCCATCGGGTCCGCAACTCATTCGAGTTGGACAGATTCCACCCACTTTATGAAGACACTCTGTACACCGTCGTCAACGTCGTATCCCCTCGGACAAAGAAGTCGAAGACTGTTACACGCCAGGCATATGTTTGCAAATGGAACACCAACACTTGGACAGTAGAAAAGTCGAGAAAAGTCGGCGACCGCAGTCTGACTTGCTTCGACATCAGGTACTTATCGTTCTGCGTCTTCTATGACTACCCTGATATTCTATTCCAGCATAGATGGTCGTTTTTTGGGCTTCGGGTCCTCAGACCTGTCAATAGGAATGCTGGATGCAAAGACCCTGGCTGTGCGTTCATTCTGCTCTTGTAACCTTCAATCAACTCATACGTTCCTCACAGCCCCTTTCTACGATTTTGAAGGCTTATGAATTACCACCGACTACAATCAAATTCGACCCAAATACAACGTTACTGGTAGCGGGCAGTGCAGACAATACGATCCGGATTATGTCTATACCCTCTACCGTTGGCGGGTCAAGTAAGTGTTCATTTCCTTCTGGACGCGCAATGACTCAACGTCGCGGCACAGGTTGGAGCGTAATCATATTTATCTTCCTTGCGCTTGTCTTTGTGCTGGTCGCAATCGCAGCAAAGCAGTACAACTTGCAATTCTAAAGTGGCATGGGCATGCTCTTGCAGGGATATATAAAACCAAGTATGCTATGTATAAGTACAGTACATCTGGACTTTTAATCTTATCATTATGATTACAGCCAAAGACACCCAGAAAATGAAGGTCCATCAGTCGTAATCGTCTTCTTCCACCAACTTACGTTTCATTCCGTTTGCTGGTTCTGCCATGGCTGTGGGAACCTCCTCCATTGCGTCGCTTTCCTCTTCTTCATCGTCGCCTCCGGCAAACAGACCGTCTTCTTCTTCAGCGGCTTCGCTACCTTCTTCAGCCTCCAGACGCATGCTAGCATTGGTCATTTCTATGTCGGCTTGCGTGGCAATAGCAGAGATTGGGAATGGTGCCTCTTCTCGGACAGGCTGCTCTACAGCTGACGGAGTTCCGACGGGTTGCTTCCCAGGAGATGGAGCAGCAGCAGGTTCCATGTCGACATCCTCTTCCTCCTCCTCTTCAGACTCAGATTCTTCAATCTCTTCAATCTCTTCGTCATAGAGCTTGACGCCAGGGGGTGGCTTGTTTGGTATCAGATCAAAGTCGACGTTGGTGAGACATTCCGAAGCAGGCGGTAGTCGGACACCAAAGACTTCAGGCACGGCAGGCAGAGGAGCTGCATTCACCTCGGACGCGAGTGAAAGAGTGTACTGGTGATGTCATATGAGCGACGCGTCCTCAGCAAAAAAATACTGAGGCGCACCTCCTTAGGTACACGGCCGCCAAACTCCCAACCGACGCGTGCTTGGACAGCGAGTGTGACATCGTCCATCTCGATCTTGCCTCCATGTCCTGCATGGTCCGCGTAGACACTGGCGTCTGTCAGGACCTGGGTGGTATACCGATGCGCAAACTCAAGAAGCTGGTGGAGGACACCGGGCTGCGCATCCTGGACAGACGGGGCGGAGGAGAGGAGAAGGGCAATGGCCCGTGCGGTGGACGGCAGGTTATCCGCTGGACGAGAGGACATTGGCCAATGGGATTCACGCAACCAAAGCTGGGAACGGCGAATCGGTATTGACATGTATTTGGTCGAATATGCAGCCGCTCTCTGATTGGCCAGGAGCAGGTGGGACCAATGAGGAGCGTCCGAGCGTGGGGCCCGTGACAAAGCGAGAAACCGAGCAAGGTCAAGTTGCCGTCATTCGTTCCTGCCTTTCCACCAGCCTCTCTTTCGCATTTCACCATGTTCCGCTCATCAGTCGCAAAGACTATCCTCGCCGCTGCCCGCCCTACCGTCCACCGCGCGGCCCTGCGGCCACTGGCTGCTCGTGGGTACCACGAGAAGGTTATCTCCCACTACGAAAAGCCCAGAAACGTGTGTTCTAGTTCTTTTTAGCAGTCTGGACCAGGTCTCTTTATCTGATAACTCGTCTCAGGTTGGCTCCCTGCCAAAGAACGACGTAGATGTGGGCACAGGCCTTGTAGGCGCGCCTGCGTACGTCTCCTGTCCTCTCTCGACGCCGAACGTGGCAGCGAACGTACATCGCTCGTCGTCGCTGTTCGGCTACGATCGCGAACGCGGAGCTAATCGGGTTTCCACTTTCCCAGGTGCGGCGATGTCATGAAGCTGCAGATTCGTGTAGATGAGAATGGCATCATCTCCGACGTGAAGTTCAAGACGTTTGGATGCGGTAGCGCCATTGCTTCCAGCTCGTACATGACCGAGCGCGTCATGGGCCTCTCGCTCGAAGAGGCTGGCAAAATCAAGAACACCGAAATTGCCAAGGAGCTCTGCTTGCCACCTGTGAAGCTCCACTGCTCCAGTAAGCTCCATCTCTTTGCTCCTATATACGTATTAGTTGCTTAATGTATTTTTCTTTTATTCAGTGTTGGCAGAAGATGCCATCCGTTCAGCCATTCGGGACTATCGGTCCAAGAGAGCTCAACTGACCGCCGATGGGTCTACAAAGAAAGCAGGCTTCATCGACGTCACCCAGAATTCGTCAACAGGAGCAACAACAGCTTCTGCTAGCTCAGCATGAACTGTTCTCTTTTTTCTGTTATCTCGCGTCGCATGTTGAAAATTACTACATATTTTGCATCCTAGTCCCTGTTTATTACCATGTGTATCATTAGTTTCCTTCCCATGCATTCATTCAGTGTCTTTTTTCGAGACCGCAATTCCATTAGAACATTATTTGTGGTCAGAAAGACTGAATAATGACGAGCAAGAACAATAAAAAAGTGTTTGTCCTAAGCACTTAGGCACCCTTCTTCCCAATAAATGAGAAAGTACCACCAGCAAACCACTTCTCGTTGGCTTCCTTCACACGCTGTGTTGCAGCCGCGCGGTTGGTCAATTCGAACCCTGTAAGACGACAGGTCAGCTTACGTCCGCATTGAATTGCCCAACGGCAAGTTTGAATGAGCGCACCTTGTGCCGGTGTCACACTCAAAGATGTTGCAGTACCGGAGCTCTGCGCAGCTTGTGCCGAACGCGTAATGGCGGCCGTGCGTAGTTTGTTCGCCTTCGACATTTTGGCTGTAGTAAACGACAAATATCAGACGACTATCCTTTCCAGAGTGCACCACAGATGCAAGAATAGAAAATAACGGACCTCGGCTCTTCGCCTCTCCGGCCCCAGCACGAACCTTGCCCGTGCCCACCCCGATCATACCCATACCCTTGGTCTGGTCGAACGCACCGACCTCCTCCTCGGCTTCGCCGAACGCCATCCTGTTCTGCAGCTTCCGGAGTTCGGTTTGCGCAAATGCCTCCTTCGCCTTACGAGCACTGAACGATACGACAAGGATAAATTAGTATAGGACAGTACGCAGAGAAGAAAAAGGAAATAACATACCGTTTTCCACCGCGGCGCTTCTTTGGACCGTCGTTCGGGATGGGCAGAGCTTTGACAACTTTAGAGGGTGGCGGTGCGGCGAGTCGGTCGATGTGTTTTTCAATCTTGTCGCGAAGACTCTCTCCGTACGTGCCTATGAGATATGAATGAATAACCTGGTCAAAGCAAGTGTTCGGATATTTTGCGCACCGTCTCTCCTTGACCGCTCAAGATCCATACGCGCAGCCAGCACGCATTTCGCGCCGACTGTTCGTTGGACCTTCAGCTGATACTCAGGCGGCGTCTGGGAAACGAGCTCCGACTGGAAGATGAACCCTGTATGCCGCTTCTGTGTTGCAGTCGAGAAGCCAGCCGTGATCTTTTTCTGCGCACCGAGGAGCTATGAAATAGTAGAATCAGTCGGTCTGTCCACAAAACAAATGTAGAAAATAGACAAACATGCGCATTACATCCTGGCATTTTGGCGAGACCCGCAAGCCCACCGGCGACCCCAAGGAGTTTCGCAGCTGTAGTAGTACCAACAATAGCTGATAGGTTCGGTGCGAGGACATTCATTCGTGAGCTGACATACATGAATATCTACACCAGCACAGATTCGTGAGCTACTAGTATCTCCGGATATATCATGATGAACGCACCTTTTTACGAGCCTCCTCCAAGCGGTCGGCAAGATCACAGGCGCGTTGAACGGCGGCCCATTGAGCGACGGAGAGAACTTTGCCCAGAGTGGTGGTGGACGTGACAACGACACTCATGATGATGGCTGGCGGAAGGACACCAGTGAGATCGACTTTGGCAAGTTCCTAAGCAAAGGTTGGTGAATTCAAAATTTGTGATGGGGTTGCACATACCCCACTGTTGGCTAGTGCGCGCACGGATCGGATGTACATGGCAGGGTCCGTTACGAGCTGCTCAAGTTCCGGGAATCGTGGTGCATAGTGGTCACGGATGAACTGCAAAAAAAGATGTGAGCCAGGCTGCAGAGTAGAGAAAGTTCCGAAAATTACCTTGTGTACGAGAAGAATCTCGTTATCAACGTCAACTGACAAGTTGTTCGCTTGTACAATAATGTTGTATTCTGGGTTCAAGTGGGCAGGAAGGGCCATCTGCGCGGCCGGAGTTGGGTTTGCTTGGTACTTCTCAATATCCTAAAGGAGAGCCGTGTAAGCCGTTTCCCATGGGTGAGATAAGAGAAGAGACGAACCTTGAGAATGTCATTCATCCTCTTGCTGCCCTCGAGTTTGGCAATCTTGTTGACGTCCTCGATCCCTCCCAGTTCCATACGTTGAACGTCCTCTGCATCCAACTCATCCGCTGGTTTCACGCCGCCCTCCAGCACCAGACCTCCGATCTCGACGCGTTTACCATCAGCACCCGTAGTGCCCTCGCCTGCGTCGTCGTCGTCATCAGACATGTCCTGGTCTGCATCTCCTGCGGCTTTGCGTTTGAGCCCGTTGGATGTCGAGGGGCCGGCCTCTGGCTGCTCTCCCGCTTCCTCTTCTTCAGAGCCGCCTTCGAGGCCTTCGAGATCTGCAAGGAGTTCGTCCGCTAAGCCGCTCATCTTGGGAACAGTGGTGGTCGCGTCAAGAGCAGAGTCACCACTGCCGTTCTCGTGACGCATGAGACGCGTGGGAACATTCTGCCATTTACGTGACCTGTCTTGGATGGTGCTGCCTCGCTGACCGTCTCCGCAAGGCGTGTTACGCAGTGTCAGAAAAGCGTTGCATTCGTGCTGTAGATGAGATGATTGCCCTGAGGGGACGAGAGCCTTGTGGTGTGTACGTCATAGGTGTCATGTTGCGTCATTAGTCCCACGGCCTCGAAGAGCTGGTGCATAAACAGGCGCCGCATGAGGCTCTCCACATTTCTTTCCCTCTTAATCAGCCAATAATGCCCCCAGGTGCCTCCGTCGTTGACGCGTTCAAAAGTACGTAGCATGCTCTACAGCTCCCCCAAACTCAACACACCCGCCGACGATCACCCCGTCCTTCGCGAATTCCTAGATCTTATTCGCCATGGCAAGCACCACAACAACAACCAGCCCCGCATCGCCGACATCTCCAAGCAAGACACACCCTCCGACCAGCCCAGCACAGATCCCTCCGCAGCCCAGCCCAGCTCACGTGGCTTACGTCAACACAACCCTGACAAGTCCCCTCAACCCAGGGAGGCTGCAGAAATCATCGTTGAGGAGGAGCGCAAAGCAAAGGCAAAGATGCCCACCTACAAGGGCCTAGAAACCTACCATATTGAGGAGAAGATGGGCGAGTACGTTCGTCGCCATCATTGTGATCATCCGACCGTCTGATTCCCATCCAAGCGGCGCATTTTCAAATGTCTACAGGGCTGTCGAAATTAGCACCGGCAGGCGGGTCGCAGGTGCGCTTCTCTTCCATCCGTTCCCTGCATCTTATTCCGCCTTCTCCATAGTCAAGGTCGTCCGGAAATATGAGCTTAACTCCTCGCAAGTACGTTCCGCTCCGTGCATGCCTTCTACACCCTTTCCTACGTGTTCAATACACTAATATTGCCATCTTATTTTCTCCCTTTCCTGATACCCTGCCCTCTGCGCGTGGTGCAATCTTGCACTCCAGGCTGGCGACAAGCACTTGAACCCTCAGTTTAAGAAGAAGCCACGCGTTACAGAGGTGCAGTTTCATCTTCCGTGCTTTGTGTCTGTTCTCGTCAGTTTCTAATCCCATTCCGTATCTTCAGCGGGCGAACATCCTCAAAGGTTAGAAAGCATCACTCTTATCTTCGCCAACATATGCTCACATTATCGCAGAGGTCCAGATCATGCGCGGAACTTCACATCCATCCATCGTGAAGCTCTACTCTTTCTCCGAGTCAGAAGAGCACTATTTCTTGGTCATGGAATGTGCGTAATCTGTCTTAGCCTTCGAGGCCTCGAATTGATTGTTCTCTTTTCAGTGATGGAAGGCGGCGAACTCTTCCACCAGATTGTCAAGCTCACATACTTCAGCGAGAACCTCGCACGCCACGTTATTCTACAGGTTGCACGGGGTATTCGGTATCTACACGAAGAACGCGGGGTAGTTCATCGCGACATTAAGCCCGAAAACCTCCTGTTCGAGCGCATCGAAATCATACCATCGAAAAACCCTATACACCGGCCGTACGACGAGGACAAGGAAGACGAGGGCGAATTCATCCCTGGCGTTGGAGGTGGCGGTATCGGAAAAGTCAAGATCGCCGACTTCGGGCTGAGCAAAGTCGTCTGGAACGAGCAGACTATGACGCCGTGTGGAACCGTTGGCTACACCGCGCCGGAGATCGTCAAAGATGAACGGTACAGCAAAAGCGTTGACATGTGGGCTCTTGGTTGCGTGCTTTACACTTTATTATGTGGTTTTCCACCTTTCTACGACGAGAGCATCAATGTGCTTACAGAAAAGGTTGCAAGAGGTTACTACACGTTCCTAAGTCCCTGGTGGGATGACATTAGCCATTCTGGTGAGTTTTGCAGTCGGTCGTCCTGACCCAGCGACTGAAATCCTTGATAGCCAAGGATCTAATAACGCATCTTCTTTGCGTGGACCCTGCCCAACGGTATACCATCGACGAATTCCTTGGTCATCCTTGGTGCAATGCTGCACCAGCGCCGCCACCACCACCTACACCGTTCATCTATGGCAACCTCAAGGAGCCATTGTCCGGTGGCAAGCCTCTGGATTCACCCCTCCTCTCAGCTGCCCGAGGTGGTCGTACACATGAAGGACGGAGTCCGGGCATTGCGACGCTAAAGGAAGCCTTCGACATTACATACGCCGTACATCGCATGGAGGAAGAGGGTGCACGGAGACGAAAATACAACGGGCGCGGTGGAGCCGGTGCTCGCGGCTTCCTCTCTGGGCTGAACGAGGACGAGGAAGATCTTGACGACGAGTCGGACAGCGAGCACGAAGACGACTACCGGCGTGCAGCACGAGAGGTCGCTATGGCTCCTGTGCAAGACCACCAAGTACATCGTTCGGTCTTGGACGGGCGGGCAGGTCCTCGGGATCAAGGCAAAGGCCGGATCATCCAGGCGACTGGTGCAGGCACCAATACCGAGGCTGTTAAGCCCCGCGCAGGACGCGGACGCAGACAAGCTTTCGAGCTCGACCTGGACAATGCGACGCTGTTGGGTCGGCGACACAAGCGGGCAGTCGGGAGCCCGCTGAAGATGGAGGGTCTTCGGATGGATGATCAGCCCCCGCATCCCATTGCTGGAAGTACGATGCTGATGTAGATTGCCAAAGGTCCGACACCTTCCTCCTCGCGAGCCTAAAAGGCTCTGCATCGTTCGAATCGTCCCTCTTCCTTCTAATACTGCCCCCATCATTAGCCCCCGTCCTCCTCTCTGTAGAATTTCGCCTCCTACTCATCGGCTGTTCTTGGCCAGCAGCAGCATATTCTCATTGCGCTCCCTCCTGTACACAAGTGCCCTCGCCAAGGGCTAGCCTGTTTTGCACACCATGTATCCTGTACTCTATCCGCCCCTCTGCCCCGCTCTCCGCCTTCTCGGGCTCTCGCTCCTCCTCGCGATGACAGGCTCTTCGTTGGCTTTTTCATGTTTGATATCTTTATTATTCTTTCGACTTTCTCTGACACAATTCTTCTACATAGTCATGGCGGACACATGGACTACGCATGATATCATTCATACAGAAGTAGTATACATACACAGAGCACGCCTTGCATATTTTCCCCATTGTTGGTTGATATTCAATGTACATCGCCGTTTGGGTCGATGCACCGACGTCAACCAATTCATCGATGTCAGACTGTCATACCTCTATTCCACTCATTGAGGAGATTGTGGCGCATGAACGGTATATGCGGACTCAGCATTATATTCGAAACGACTAGCTTCTATATCGCTCTAGCCGTTCAGCAGGGCTCAGCTACATATATACGCACGCGACAAACAGGACGGCCGGCACTATGACGACGATCCCATTGCCAATTTTTGACAGAATGTGTGGCGCCAGTGATCGAAGCCCTTCGGTTGGTTCTCGCGACGATCGAATTCGCAGTGTGGCGTCGATCACTTCCCGACATGAGTGTCGTCATTAGGGGCCGCCACAGGATCGCTTAAAACAGCTCCTGATGTCGGGCTAGTGGACTTGATGACGAGCAAGCGCTGTCACCGACGTCGACCGCAGTTGGCACTGGTCCTTTCGTTGTTCATGTAGAAAGGAGGCTCAGGATCCCCTTTTCCCGATAATAACCAAGCGTCTCAGTCACATAGGCTGTCAGCTCTTCGGCACTTGTCTTCGGTGACGCTGATTCTCCTGCCCGGCTTGCACTCAGGGCGTTGAAACCACCTGATCAATCCAGCGCCGTCAACCCCCAGCCGGCGGAACGAAAATGAAATCATTTTGTTCGAGGAAGCACCCAAGTCTTCAGGCGCATCATACATACGCACCCCTGCACCGATACCACGAGTATATGATACCAATCGTAGCAACTGACGCCCTCAGGAACGCCACAGGTCCTGACGAGCCTGATCGACGAGAAGGCGGATAGCTTCCCAACTTCGAAGTTCGCGGCTTCGAAGCTCCCTGCATCGAGACAAGCGACCTCGGGTGATCTACGATCACGCTCAGGCAGGCGGCAGACTTCGACGCATACATACGAAAGACATGCTGACGCGTTCCTCGTTCCTAGCGAAGCCTGAATCTTGGCCGACGCCGGCGCCGGCATCTGTGGACCAGAATACAGTGCCGCGAGGAACCTGAGGAGAGGTAAGGCACGCGTGAGTGAATTGAGAAATACGGCCTCCAGCGATATCGCCGTCTAGCACCGTCGGCGTTCGTCGAGTTGCTGAGGGTAAGTAAGGTCAAGTGCGGTCTCGTGATGCAGCCGACAGTCCATCAACGTCAGAGGCAGGATGTAGTACTCTCTAGAAATAATCTGTCAAAAGGAGAGAGAGAAGCATTTTACGCTGGTGGCATGCTGTGCCCTTGCAGTCCGACGGAAGAGGCTGGGCGGACGGGTGACGACGATATACACAAATGCTGCGTCCTGAGAAAACTTTGAATGCAGCCGGCAGGGTGCTTTACGTTGTGGGTTGTCGCTGACCGAAAGCGTAGTTGGCTGATAGAGAGCAGACGGTTGGAGCAGTACAAAGAGAAGTTGCATGGGGAAAAGAGCAAGGTTTTTGCGATCGGTCTAAAGACCTTGAAGGAAAGGGCCTCCTGGGGGAGAGTAGGAAGTGCTGGTTTGGAGAAACGGAGTGCTTTTCGATGAGCACCAGCCCCTGCACCGAGTCAAAAATTTGGGGTTCACCTGCAAGGTATGACGAGAGGGACCCTCTGTGATAATACAAGGGTAGGGCGGCAGTGGGACCTCCGATGGGCAATACACGCAGCGCCTTGTGTAAACTCTGGACTCGGCCTGGAGGCGGCACGGGCGAGTCATCCTTGCCCATGAGATGTGGACAAACAGGTTCGATCGATAGGTCATAGGACAATGACCGAGGTAGGAGTACGTCCGTGTGTTAATTTTTGGAACGGAAGTACCCATCTGGATAGATCATGGTGAGAACGCGCCCGGCAAGTCCCCACAGAGAATGCAGACTGTGGAGGTGGAGACTCAAGTGTCGACTCCGGGCCCCAGTCCGATGCGGCGGAGGAGTAGGTCGTCTGCCTATTTGATATCAAGTGTCTACACCATTTGGCGGAACTGACCTGCACGGAATTTTGCGCTGTGCGATGGAATGTTCTTCGTCACGTAAAGTCGATGGGGGTTTGAACGGGCGTTGATGTCAGTACCTTCAATTGCTATCATCACAAAGTGATGATCGACTAGGAATAGCGTTTTCCAGACTTCTGATCGACTTTCATGAACATACTCGATTCTGACATATCTGAGCACCGCTCATGATGAGGGATCATGGCAGTACGCACAACAACGCTTTCATGGTATGGTATGATAATCTGTCTTGTCATATCAAACCTTAAGAAAAGACAAAGGCGAGTACAACCGACGGTATGGACATGCCATTAACAAGGTGAGTTTGATGAATGAATGCTGAAAGATAATCCGATCATGTTGACCAGAAAACATTCTCTTCAAGACAACTAGACATAGAGGGTTTGATTGTCCTCCTGCGAAACGGTTTAGATTGTTAGAAGTCAAGAAGTTTCGAACGGGCTCACCTTTTATGAAGGAATACTCTCACAGACCGTCAAGCCTCAGCCGGTGAACCAGCAAAAAAGAGAGACGCCGTATAGTCCTCCATAACGCCAAAGACCGCATGTCGGATGTCGGCAAATGGCAGAGCCAGGCCACAACCGGACAAGCGCGACAGCGAGTGAATTGACAGGGAGAAACCTTGGAGAAACGCGTTGGGAAATCTCCTCTGCTGGAGTAGTAAGTGCGCGAATTACCGTGGTACGGAGCATACGACAATCCACGGGGAACTCGGTGGGCTCCGTCAAGTCAGCTTGGGCCCGTGTTTCCGAATACAAGCACCGCTCTCCCGAAATGAGGGAGACATGCGTCGTCCTGGGAGGGATCAACAAACGTCGAGAAAGCCGGGAAGAAAATTAACATCCTGGATGCTGCCCCAAGGTGGAGATGAGGCAAAAGTAAAGCTTTTTACACCCAGTAAGCATAAACCATTTGGAGTTATCATTGACCTTCTCGCCGAGCAAAAGTCCGATGTCAACCAAAATGTGGATGTCAGCTCTTTGTGCAAATCAACGCCAGAGACGAGATACGGAGAGCTCCCACGACGGCGAAGATATCTGCGGTAATGAAAGAAAAACGGGAGTTGTTGGCGGAGCATGCGGACCGAGGAAAGCTATCTGTGAAATTTAGAGAAGGATTCGTAAGAGAGGAAGAACAAGAATCGTTAGCATGGGAAGAGACGCACAGAAGTCCAGGTCAGACGGAGCGTTGGCGTAATGCGTAACGGGAAGCTTACGACAATCTACGGGATCTTCATAGAGAAGAAGAAGAGGGTCTTGCTAGCAAATCTGGGCTGAGGAGATCAGATCGCGAAGACGACATAAACTATAGAAGCAAGATGACTGTCAGGTGTCAAAGAAGATAATAACGCGACACATGTTGAGGGTCCAATCCTCCAAAGTCCGTAGAGCGGATAACGCAGATTATTGTCGCCTAGCAAGCATTGCTGTGGAGTTGAACTGATAAGGCTCTCTTAGAATGGCGATTGACAATGTTAGAGCAAGTTTGACTCGGAGTAGCACATTCCGGACTGCGACCAGGTGGCAGATATGATGAATGCTCGTGGCAGCCATTCTGCGTGTAGAACCCCCTCGAGTATGGAGACAGGCTATGACGAGGAGAAGTGACGGTGAGAAGTGACGGGAAGAACGTGAACCGCTTTCACACGTGATAGCCTGGTCCGTGCGCTAATAGGCCACTATATAAGCAACAAGCGCCCGTTGCAGCACCTCATACTTACCTTGATGGCATGAGCCCCTTCAAGTCCCGGGTTTGTGGGCCGTGGAAATCCTTCATAGCACGGCGACCTTGTCCTCAGAGGGTGTCCGCGGTTTGTATGGCCTTAGGGTCATGCACCGTCTCAATATTTTCCTGTCCCGCTTCGGCCACTCTGGCTGGGTGGGCTCTTTTTTTGCCCCTCCGCTCCGCTAACCCTAACCCTAATTACCGATTAGATAAGTAACTTATCAATGAATATATCTTATCTCTCTATCTCTTGGCACATTATCTATATTCAGCAACATCTCGAGAACGCAATGCAGTTTTGAGAACACCTTAGCACATGGTACTGGCCATGGAGAAGGTTAGAGTTGATATACTGGAAGATATTTTAAACAGCCCTTGGATTCACTAGTATGTAATGGCTTTTTTGAGGTTGTACCCTAGCCCAGATGTGTACTAACAGTCATTCCTCTGATCCCCGCTTGGGAATGTGCTTCCATCAAGAAGACTGACGAACAAGGAGGCTGTTTTCATCTATGAAAGTTAGACAAACCCACATCACTTGAATGACGCGAATAAACAGAATGCTCTATCCCAATTGTGCGAAATACCGGTGGGTTTATCCCCGGCATGCCTTGTCAACACCCACCCAGAAAAGAGGCTCCTCGTTCTCCTCACCTACAAACACTACAGACCCCTATCATGCTTCGTCATATTGCTCGTATCTCTAGCAGCGAACAGCCTCCGCCACCTCGATCTTGCTAACTGTGTAGGGTGAATTACCGAATCAAGAGCCAACAGGACCCAACAGGCCGAAGGGCGTGCGAACGTACTGGATACGCAGCACGCACCTCCAACGATCTCGAATCTTTCGCCTGATGCTCGAGCGCAAGCGACTGAAGAGGGGTGCGTTGGACGCACCGCGTGCTTGTGCACCGGATCGTGATGGCGAGTACGCGAAAGCAGCACAGCGGAGGTGGTCACTGGGCTCTCGAGAATCTCCGGGCGGGCCGCTCTAGAGGCCATAAGACTGCCCAAACTTTTTTGTGAACAGCATCATGCGCGAAAGGCCGATAAATAGAATACCCCACTTGCAGTGTACACCAGTTTACAACTCTGGGGCATGGGACCACAGATGATGCGATGTATTTCCCTCTCACTGGTACGGAGCTTTTGCACCGTTGCATTTGAGTTGAGCAAGACCCGAGTAGCACGTTTACATAGATATCTGCATCTGCATCACGATGGATCGATCCTGGGCGCGCGGAGCGAATAGAGTAGATTAGATTCAAGTTGTTCAACAAGCCCAACGACGTACTTCACCCGGGCGGCGTCGACGGGTACACAGGAAGGCCGACAAGATGAGGGATGGAACTTGGGAGTCTGGACACGGAGGAAGTCATGTCATACCACCCCTAGTCAGCGTCGACTTCGAGGGGGTCTTCCAAATGCCATCTTCTGAGTTCTCGCCAAGCGCCAAGCGCCACACCCGTGGTGGCGGTGCTCCGAAGCCCACTGGCCGGGCTAACGAAACGCAGCGCGATTCCACGAACCATGAGGTGGGTGGGGCATTCTGAAGATCAGAAGCCCCCTCCCAAAGTACCGTACGGCCTGGAGCGAGCCTCCCTGGTCATGCACCCATCCTTCTGCATACTTACCCACCGACAAATGGATCGTCCCTAGAGCGCAATTGAGTACCCATCAATTGAATGCTCACGAAATTTTCGCGTACGCCGCACCCTCGCGCTCCAAGTTCGCCCCGACGGCGAGCCGGTAAAAAAATATCTCGACGGTGAATGGCGAGGGAAAGCCTCCGTTCTTCCGTTTATCCAAAGGGTGCGCTTTGTACGTTACCCGTTCGCCTCCCTCTGCCGGGTCTTGAGGTCTCGACTCTCGAGCTTCGACTCCCACCAGAGGCGGGAAGGACGGCTTACACGCCAGAAATCTGGCGTTCATCTTTGCGCAAGTTTAAATGAGGCTCGTATGTTTGACTCGGTTAGCGGACAAGCCAATTTGTTATGAGAACAAAACTTTACTTCATGAGGGAATCACCCACTCGTACTATTCAATCCCGTTCTAATAACGTCGGTGTCAGCTCGTGTTTCGAGGAGATAGAGAGGGCTTACACGTCCCGAAATTAAACAATAATAACCTCACCTTTCATTCGTTCGTCAGTCGACTAGAGTAGATGTCATTTTTAGGTGAGAGAGCCTGAGAGCGCGGTAGTCCTTTTGATTGTCCAGCATCAGATAGTGCGACAGTACGCGGGTAGCAAAGACCCAACGCGATGGCAAGTACGCTCGCCCCGAAAGGCGTCGGTGTCGCCCACTTTACCCAGCCGTCTGTCCCTACTCAATCCTCAAAATCAATTAGCAAGAAGCGTCCCTCGCAGAATTCCCGAGAGGACTCAATAGAGACAGCCGCGACGCATGGTCCTCGACGGTGATAACAGGCAAAACTTATCAATAGTCAGGCTTCCAGGCAGCAGACGCAGGCGGGGAAGCCTACGAATTCGAATTCGCCAGTTCATACGTACATACAGCTTGCTTCGGGCTCAGAACCTGCAGAAAGAATTCTTACCCGCGAAAGAAGCCGAATCTATTACCCCACAAGAACGGCGGACAAGAAGCATAGTGCTGCAGGACAGACGCAGAACGGGGCTCAGTCCGGTCTTCGCCTTCGCATTTGTTCGCGTTCACGGCAATGTTCATTCGCTCTTCGTCGAGGCAATCTAAATGGGGCTTCCCGTTAGATGGGACGATGGCTGGACAGTGGGAACACCTCGACAGTGGGAAGCGACGATAAACGGTGCATCAGAGCGGCATCTGGATTCTGGCGTATGTGTCGGAAAATGCGCTGGGCCCTTCTGATCTTCTTTTTCTCCTTCTTGCGTTTGCCCAAGTTGGTCATGTCGCAGAGAGTTCCCGAAGAACTGGGGGTGCTCGCTGGAGCCGCGGCGCCTCTACGGCAGAAGGAAGGAAGGAAATAAAGGGCGATTCGGGGATTCCAACGGCGGACTGAATTAGAAACGAGAGTGGTGGGAAGGAGCGTCCGAACTCGAGCACGGAATTGCAAGTAGACAACAAACATACCGTTATGCGTATGCGTGTGTGTGCGCGTGTAAGCATTTAACTTGCGATGGTCCGTCTTACTGGATCGTCGGTTCAAGAGCTGGAAACTTCCGTAATAGTATTGCTCGCAGAAAAGAGAAACGGACACAGAAACGGAGGGGAGAAACGGGGGACGCGAAATAGGGGAGTGGGTATCTCCGAGAGGGTACAGTATGGTACGGGTATGTTCTTGTCGTTGTCGTGGTTGTTCGTTGTTAGTATTCGTGATGCCGCCCCGAGCCATCAAGCAATCGCCAGAGCTATACATACGCAGATCAGAGAATCCTATCGAAGGGCGAAGAAGCGCAGTGTGGTACGGTGCGACGCAATGGGGTGTCGGGGGATAGCAGAGCATTCATTTCCAGAGAGATATGACGAAAGAGCACAACGTCAGTTCCAATCGTTCTTCAAGATCAGAAACCCACTCGCCACCCGGGGACATGGACGGGTGAACGCGAGCGAGCATCAGATTGAGCGATAGACAACAACACCACTCACATTCACATACATCTCCTGCGCGAGCACGTCGCTGTCCTCCCAGTGACATACGATGTCCGCTCTGTATCAAAAAAGAAACCCCATCCGAGAGTGAGCCAAGACGAAGTGAGAAAAGAAGAGATCGCAGGTCAGATCCGGGGGGTCTGGGCGAGCCATGCCCCCGGCAAACAGGCGTCACCACAATCGAAAAGAGCAGGCCCACCTGCCACCCTGGCCCCGATTCTCGTTTATCTGCGTCAGGACGATGTATTTGCTGTGACAAAGAGACATATGGACAGAGGGGGTTCGTTAGCGACCTCTGAATATCACATAGGCAAGGAAACAAGCCAGAAAAGCAAAGGCGTAACCAAAACAAGCACGCGCGCAGGTGACTGCACGCTCGTAACTTGCAACACTTGTTGCTTGAGTCCTACAGGCCCCACCGCAGCGCCGAACGCACGCACAACCCTCCCAACGTTCGTCTCTACCCCATCCACCCATCCAACGTAACCCATCCAACCGAAAAACGCAAAATGACGATACCGAAACTTGCAACCGAAAAACAACAAATCACACTCACAACCCTCTCGGCTGAATCTCCAGCATCCTCTCCTTGATCCTCTCCGAAATTTCCTTGATCCAGCCCTTGACCCGCTCGCGCTCCTTGCCGTCCGGCCACACCGCGCTGTGGAGCTGCGTCGCCATGAGCTTCTTCATGTACGCCTTGAGGAGGTCCGCGTCGAACTTGGGGCGGGGCGGGGGGATGGGCGAGATGCTGGTGGGTGGCGGGCGCGGGGAGGAGGCGGCGGAGCGAGGTGGGGGCGGGGAGCGGGTCGTGAGTGTGAGCGAGGTCATGTTTGATGGATTTGCTGGTGGGCGAACTGAAGATGAAGACAATGAGGACGATGATGAGGGTTGCGGCGATAGAGAACAGCGACGACGACAGCCAGCAGCCCCTCTTCGGTGACGCACGACGCGTTTGGTTTGTTTGTGCGGTGTTTGCCGCGGCGTGTGTCCGCGTCCTCACGTGTTTTTGGGGGACTTGGCTTCGAGTTTGCCACTGCACAACCTCCAGAGTCAACCACAGTCATTTGCGCGCTTACTGCGGCCTAACGCCCAACCGCTGTCCTTGCTGTGGATATAACCTAGCTCTCCGCTCATACGCTTTCGTAGAGTGAGGATAAGTCTGATACCCAGAGCCGAATACCCGCAACCCATACCCACTGCAATCCTCATACCACCGAAAATGTCCTCAATCACCTTCCCCGACGCCTCCTCCTCACACCACCTACACGGGCACGAAGACCAGTTCTACCAGCCCTCCTTCGACACCTCTTCCTTCCAGATGAACCCGCTCTCCGCGCACCCGCCCCGAACACCCCGAACCTCTCTCATCCACAACCACGAGCACGAACACAACTATCACGCCTCCCTAACAGAATCGCCCTCGTCCACCACGACCACCCACAACCACACCAACGGGACGAGCCACAGTCACAAAAGGACCCAAAGCACAAGCTCGCAACACCACTTCTCGAGTAGCATATACGAAGAGCGGAACGAGTTTGAGGAGAAGGACATCTCGGAGGTGGGGGACGAGATCGAGGTTGATACTGAACTGGGAGAAGAGGGTGGGGATGCGGAGGGGAGGAACAAGGAAAGGCCAAGGGTCCGCCAGGAGGAGGTCTGGCGCGATATGATCGTGACGAGCAATGGGCGGGATAAAGCTTTTGTATGTCGCTTTTCTTCCCTCTAATCCCTTCTATTTCCTTCCTCGCTTTCTTCCTGACCTCCTTTCATTATGTTTTCCCCTTTATTTTCCTTCTCTCGTCCGCCACCGACCGAAGCGAAGCACGGAAGCTAATCCCCTCCCCTCTCACCCAATCTAGAAACTCATCCAATACTCCATCCGCCTCGGGCTCTGGTTCCACACCTCTCTAACCAGCACGCGCCTCCTCCGGCGACCCACACGTCCGCCCTGGGAGCGTGACATCGTCAGGCGGCTCACGTCCACCGCCGCAGGGCTCTCACTTACCAGGTAAGCGCGCCTTTTTGAAATCAAAATGAAATACACACGTGTTTTATTATTCTTACCACCATCTTCCACGCCTTTATCTGCTAATGTCGTTGTTCATGTTCACAGAAAGCTCCTCCTGCTCTTCAACTGGCTGCACCCCCTCTCCCAAATCCTCGCGCAACAAGCCGTACCCTTCTCCTCCGAGTCCCTCTCCTCCCACACCAAATCCCCTACCCTCCTCCTCCTCCATCCAAGTCCAAACCCTTCCTCCACACCCTCCTCTACGCCCCGCCCCCCGTCCTGCTCGAGCTCGCCAACGCCATCGCCGACGACCTCGCCACATGGTCCAAGCTCGGGCTGCTCGGCGCCAAGTTCGGCGAGCGCGCAGGAAGGTTCGCCGACTGGTGCTGGTTCCTCGCGACGATTGTGGGATTGGTGGAGAATGGGGTGGAGAGGGGGGTCGTGGGGGGGCTGCAAGCTGAAGGTACGCGTTTTCCCTGTGATGCTTTGTAGGGGTGAATACTGATGGTGTGGTGTTGATTTGGTGTGCGATAGTGGAAGGCAGGTTATACACCGAGTCTATGTCGGGCGCCACCGCCAAATCCCGGCCCAAAGCGTCCAAGATCGACGAGAAGGAGCTCGCGCGCCTCCGGAAGCAGGACTACTGGCTGCAAGTGACGCGTGCGAAGCTGGTCATGGACTTGATCTTCGTTTGTACGTCCTCCTTCCTTTCTCTCTTAGGTCTGAAATTGAGAAGAGGTGCTAATGTAACCCGGCAGCATATGAAGTGTTCCGCTTCAAAAGAGGCAAAGACTTCGTCAAGGCTTCTACGGGACTGGCGTCTGCTATCTTGAGGTGCGTCCTGCTCTTCCCTTACCTCGTCTCTAGACGTTTGCTGACTTTCCTTCTTCATTCCTAATCCAACAGCTCCTCGAAGCTCTACGACAGACACAAGAACACGCTGCTCAAGACCCTGCTGAACGCGTCTTCATGAGTTTATGCGGCTCCGTCTTATCTTGCTTCGTGGGGTTTAATGAGTCTGACGATAGCACACCCAGTTCCCTCCTACCCTTCACAACCTTCAACCCTTCACATTTCACCTTCACCTTCACGTTGGCTACCATCTGCTTTTCATTTTGAACTTCGAGGGCTCTAGCGTTCTTCCTTGCTTCTTGATTCGGGCCTTACTTCTTCCAATCTACTAGTTAGACTGCGCATTAATGGTGTGGTGTGGTATAGTGGGTATAGACAGACAGGCGTTCTTGATTGACTTCTCGCGTCTCGGTATCGTTATTTCCTAGTCCTCCAACTACTGAGTAGTAAAGCGTGCACGATGTGCGAGTGGCAGATCCACCATGCGCCTCTGATAGCTGCACGCGTCTAGTCCACATCTATTGAAGTAAGTACATACATTACCAGAACCTCCAACGCGATCTCGGAGTCGGGCTTGACGCTGGGTCACCACTAGCACTTGGACTAATCGCGGGAGAGATGGGCGGATTCGAAGCCTGGGCCTGAACGTTAACCCTCGCGTCCTGCAACGCATCGATCTCCGCCTCGAGGGCCATGACCTCCTTTTCTGACTCCTCCATGTACTTTTCGTGTGCGAGCTTGAGTTGGGTGAGCTCGAGGCCCTGTATGCGTGTCCGGGTCCGGGTCGAGTCGAGGATGGGTGTGGGTGGGTTATTTTGAGGCGATAGCGTAAACCAAAGCCCAGCGTAAATGAACGATGAAATGAAACGTCCGGAATCAAGCGCAGCGCAGCACATCGATAAGCAACGTCGGAGACAAAATTAATTAAGGAAAAAGGTCAGCGCTGGCCGTCTAGTAAAGGGGAAACGGACGTACGAGGTAGACAGCCGATCCGAGCAGGAATATGGGGATCATGGCGGGGAAGGTGCCCGAGTAGAGCTCTGCGTGACGCGACTTGGGCGGGAGCTCCTTCTGGCCAGTATGGGGCGGCTTGGATGGGTCATTTACGTGGTTGGGGCGGGCCGCGTCGGAGTAGGAGCGCGTGTGGGACGGGAAGGAGGTGGTGTTGGGCTTTGAGGAGTTTGAGAAGCTGGAGAAGGTTGAGGACTTTGATAACTTCGATGACGATAGCGATACCGAAAGGGAGCTGGAGAACCGCGTCAATGGAGACGCAGACGCGCACGCGAGGAGCGGGAGAGGCTCTGAGCAGATAGAGCATGCGCGCAGAGCACTACTCTGCGCTCGGAGAGCGGGGAAACACCTCGTGCGCGTGGCGTTTGATAACATGGGAATCGTCAATCCACAATACGTGGTTGGCTGATTAACAGAGAGTGTAAGGTACTTCGAGGGAAGGACGTCGGAAGGAGGCCGTCCGGGCGGGGAAATGGGTGAGCTGTGAGGTCAGGTGAGCGGGGAGGTGGGCCGTGCGGTGGATGGGTGCGGAGCGATTGTGGACCTGCTTCTGAGGCGATAAGGGTGGCGATTTGAGGAGGCGGTGTCACGAATGACGACACCTGAGTTTTCGGTGTCAAGTTTTTGAACGTGCGTGACTTTGCACCGAAAAAGTTGCAGTGGTAGGGCGTTTGAAACGGGGTTGGCGACGGGGCAAGAGGGCACAGGAATGGAGGGTGGAGGCGGGTAAAAGTTGGTGTAAATAGACAAGAGAGGAAATGCGCAGCAGCGATGAGGAGGCGGTCGTGTGGGTGGCTTGGCGTGTGAGAAAGTGGAAAGCGGGCAAAATGTGCCTAGAGGCTGCTCTCCTCTCCGTCTTTCTTCTGTCGCTCTTTCACCAAGGCTGGCCCGCTAGAGCTATGGAGCACTCGTCCCACCGCCC